CTGAACTTCACCAAGCAGTGCAACAACTCTCTTTGTGTTGACTTGGGAGAACTGAATTTGTTTTGCAATGATCTAGCCGATCTTTACACAGCGAAATCGCGCGATTCAGATCGTCCGTGGACATCTTCGGGATCAGATCAGCCTCAGTAAAGTCACCTTAACATACAATTCCAGTGAGCGAAACGCTATGACACCAGTGTGCGGCTAGTTCGACGACGTAAAGTGCAGAGGGTTCAAATCCACGCCAGCGTGCCATGTAGTGGCATTGGTGTGGTCAGCTTCTAATGGGATTTTTTCCCATTTACAGTATAATCTCCCATCGCCTTTTAGCTCTCGGATCTACTAATGTGCTGTGCACCAAGTTCACCAGAGAGATACTGATGCAAATGGCCTTTAGGTCCCAATTGGTTGCATCCTTTCAGGATAGTCTAACTCTACTGCTGCCCCATTGCAACATCAAGCTGTTTTTTTAAAGGGTCTGGCGTTCTGGTCTCAACTATTGTTCCTAGTAACATTCTGGCTGTTGACTGTCCTCTGTGTAACTTCCTGGTATCTGTTTTAAACATGACCTTCATAGCCCTGAACTAGCATAAAGCTCAACCTTATAGGAGCTTCGTTGCATGAATTGGCTGCTACCAATAAAGTAAACTAGTCACTCGAGAGTAGCGGGGATGGATAAATTTTGTTGAATTTGTTTTTGGAGTTCAGGGAGCAAACAGTGAAGGCCATTCAATCCAATAAGCCTGTTTAATAGATCATAGCAGGGTTTTTAATCAGTTAAAAATTAAATTTGAAAAATAATAATAATTATTTGATCACTCAATCCACGACCGCTTGTGGGACACTGCTGTGGGCAATTAATTGGCTGCTGCATTTCGCCCACAAAACATACTTTACTTTACACTACTTTATTTTACTTTATTCACTTTACAGTATATTCTGTGAAGCTCTTTGAGACGTCTCGAAGACGTGATAAGGCGCGATATCAAATGCAAGGATTATTATTATTACCGCTATTATCTCCCTACCTTTTCTCCATACCCTTTGAATGCTTTTGCTTCCAAAGTAAGGATATTAAGAGGCCGTATAGTCGATCGCTGTCAAATCGTGCGAGCAATGTTGCAGAGCAACGACCAGAGTTCCACATTGCAGTTGAAGCCGTTCACCTTTATCTCATCTTGAAATCTAATCTGCAAAGCTATGAAAATAGTTTCATGAGATAATTGGGTACAGAGCAGTGTTGGCATTTGCACGTAATCTTCTCTTGGTTTTTGTACCTCTATACTCAACGCTCCGAGACAGCAGTACACATGAAGTGCGCCGCACAAATACAAGGCTTTGTACCTTTATTGTTATGTCGGTCCTGATATAAACAAACTTTCTGGCTGGATGGAAAGGGACGGGGAAAGGAGGATCTGTTACAGGTTAGGCAGTTGTAGTATTTGGTGTCAACTTGACTTGGTGGTCATTGCTCTCATTTCTCACGGGTCAGACCCTCATGGGTTCAAACCCTATCTCTGGACTTGAGATCATAATCCAAGTTGATGCTCAAGTACAACATTGTCTGAGCTCCCGCCCTTTGAAAGAGACGGCATAATCCTGTGAAGGGCTTTTGAGACGTCTCGACGACCTGTGTCAAACATGTGGATTATTATTATTATTATTTGTAACATGTAAAACACTCATGGAAACATCAAGCACGGAACGTGAAAGGGCCCGTTGCATTCCTTGTGTAAAGCTGCAGGACTGAATGACCCGAGAACCTGAATCTTTTCCTAAGCCTTTCCCGAACCCATCTCGGGCCCCTTTCTGATATCCTCTCGTGTTCATGTTTCCAATGCCGGGCTGATAACTCTTGGCACAGCAGGAGAGAGTTTGCTCCTTTTTTTTTAATTACGCTGACTGTTTTCTGCTGGTGAAGTTGGCTAAACGTTGGCTAAACCGAAAGGCTCAGCAGCAGGGAGGGAGGCCGAGACGAGAGGGTCGTTTACGTCGGGTTTTAATTCCTGCGATCATCTTCCACACTGGCACCATGCGAGTGACGTTTGACAGGCCTTGTGTCAATGTTTCACGTTTGAAATAAAAGGGGTGAAATTGGTGGCCATTTCCTTCAGGTGTTCAGTGTGATATTTGTGGATGTTTATGCGATATTTGTCACACTATGAACCGTTGCTAATTTCACCCCACAACTGCCGGAAACCCCAAAGCTCTCACCCTAACCATCGACCTTTGCTGTTCCTTCAGACAGATGCTCTTTGAACCTTTCGTACATTTTCAGCAGTTTCCTGTTTTTAAGTTGGCGAATGATATTATTAGGATCAGTTTAGTTGGTGCATTTGATTTGTATCGCACTGATTTTCACCTGCGTGTGCTGGAGGTGGAATCCTTACACCCAGCCACCACCACCAAGACTTCCTTTATGTTCTCAACGACAACATTCGCGAAGCTTAAATCGTGCATGTAATGCTAAAGTCGACCCTGTTGTCGTCTCCTGGATCCTTATCACTATCACTTTACGTTATTAGCCCAGGACATCCCAGTAAAAAGGTGAAGGAGCCAAGGTTATCGTTGCCTATCTAAGTTGCCTGCAATTTATTTTTCTTTAAAAACAGAAACATTTTGGAGTGATCTTTGAGGACACGCAGCGCAGAGATCACGGGGAAATCCCACTGGAACTTCAGAGTGCCCTGAATTTACCGGCTCACCGAGCCCGTGTAACTCACCTTTGCTGCGACGCCCACTAGCACTGCTGTCTCTTGTGGTGCTTTCTCACTGAAGCAAGTGTAGCGAGCAAATGCTCACTTGGCAATCAATCCCTGTTCGCTATTTGCTTACACAGGTCTCCACCCCCACCTCCTACAACCCCCCCCCCCCACACACACCTCCCCAGGGCCATCCAAGTCCTCACAAAGTTCCGTCTGTTTACTGCCACCGGCTTCGTACGGATCAGTGAGACTCGGGTAAAATAATCCTCCCACAGACAAAGCACAATGGACCTCGGCCATCAGTGGCGTGAAACTGGGTCAAACTCCCTGAATGGTGACGTAATGGGTTGGTGGGGCATTTCCTACACAGAGACGGAGACAGATGCAGATCACGGTTCATTCATTATCAGATGAATGAACCCTCCTCCCCTTTCCACTGATGCGATTAAGGTGCAGGGAGCTCCTGTTATAATAATAATAATCCTTGCATTTGATATAGCGCTTTTCACGTCGGGAGGACATCCCAAAGCGCTTCACAGAACACACCGTAAAGTGAATTGACTGTATATTTGTGGGCGAACGCGGCAGCCAATTGCACACAGCAATGTCCCACAAACAGTCGTAGATTGAAAATGACCAATTTATTATTGTGTTTGGTTTTGGAGGGATTATTATTAGGCTCTGTGTGGAGTAAGGAAACTTGCCCGAGGTTTCGCCCTCTGCCTGGAATTGAACTCAGGTCTCTCGCTTGTAAAGCGAGTGCTCTAACCACTGAGCTACAGGACTCCACAATGGTTGATGGTCCGCTGGGTGCTGGCGCTCTGAATCCTGTGCATTTTTACTTACTCGTCACCACCAACCACCACCACAAGATGTGTTTCAATGCTGTGTTCTTTGTGATAACCTTGTGGAACATTTCGCCCTAAATTCACGTAATTCGCCCACAAAAGATACAGTCAATTCCCGTGAAGCGCTTTGAGACATCGCGAAGACGAAATGAGGCGCAATATCAAACACAAGGATTATTAATATTATTATTATTATTAACCTGAACCACTGAGCGCGATCTTCACACCCACAACCTGGTGCAGTTGAGAGGTGGGTATATTCATCCCCAGTTGTGGTCAGGAAGACGTGCAAATGGGCAGAAAATTGGTTTCTGTACGGTACGGAGCGTGGATCGAGAGTAGTTTGTGGGTGCCATTTCTGCCCAGGGTTGCAAGCGTGGAACAGAGGTTTGCCCGTTGTTGAAACTTTAACCAAGGTATTTGCCGGATGGATCTTAAACCGAGAAAAGTCCCCAACAGCACCCGAAGCTTTCCAGAGACATGGGTGACTCGCTTTTTGGTCAGAATTGGAGTAAAGCCTCACGTGTACGCAGAGCACTGGAGCTTTGGCAGAGCGTGCTGAGAACTCAGTGTGGGCAGGGTGTTAACGATTCCAATTCATAACTGACTTTAGGGGATACTCAGCGGTTAGTTGTATTGACATAAGGTTTATTGACTGTTTAAGCCCCTGAGAGCATTAAATTCAAAAGCACAGGCACCCAGTCAAACCGCTTCATTGGCTGAAACTTGGGTTGCATTCCTTCCAGCAAAGGAGATTGATGGGGTGATCTGATTAAAAAGGTGGGGGGGTGGGGGGGGTGCTCCAACATATGGGGATATTAATCTTAAAATTAACGTGAGACTAGTTATAAGTGAAATCAGAATACATTGTACAGAGGTTGTAAAAATTGTGCAAATGTACAACAACAACAACAAGATTACATTTGTATAGCGCCTTTCACGTTGGGAGGACCAACCCCAGAAGACCATACCGACAGGATAAATTGGCATGGATAGGTAGGTGTGCCTTTCACAAAGAATAACACCTCTTAGACTGCTTTACAGGGGGCTGGGATGGTGAGGAAAGGGGGAGAGGATAGGAGAAAAAGGGGACAGGCGCGGTCAAAGGGGTGGGTTTCAAAGAGAAACATGATGCATGCATACGTAGGAAGTAAAAGTTAAAAGAAGAGGAGACAGGTAAGTGGGTTAAAAGATCTTCCGTGATCTGAAAACTGGCAGAGCAGATTGGATTGGTTGAAAGGCTCTTGCTGTTCTAAAGATTAGGCACAATGTGTACAGAAGAACGAGATATCAGCAATGACCATCATCAAAAATACCATATCCACCCACCAACATGTTGTGGTGATGAAGCTTGTGCGTAACTGGCTCCCTGCTGTGTAGTTTATCGTGTTGTGCAGTATCTCTGTCTGCACATTGCTGATTTCAAAGAATTCGCATTTATTTATTTTTACAATGCGTTAAAAGTCAAGCGATGTGCAACTCGGTGGGGCAGCAGTCAGTGAGGCGTTGCGATGTACCCAGGAATGTTTCCAGAAGCAAAGGAGACCGGTGCCGCCTTCGGCACTCGAGCCGTCGTGGCTTTCTCTTTGCAGCGTGACTGAAATGTCACCGCAGCCGTCAGGAGAAGGGACTTAAATGGTGCCTCGAGTTGATACCCTCGAAGGTCTTGATGGTCAGGAGAGAACTGCGGAGCGAACGGCCCCTTTAGAGACCCGGAGCCTGCTGTAATGAGCATGTCACCTTTGCAAGCAAGAGTTTTCCCTGAGGTGCGGAGCTTGGAATTTTGACCCTGATGCGTGGAACCCGGACAGGATTGCTGCTGTGGCACTCAATTCACAGCCCTCACAGTGACAAGTTCAAGCCCCAGCAGGGAGGCCTTTTTAGACTGACCAGCCGCTCGCGCGCACAATGATTTGCGACACTCAACTGAGGTAAGTACAATACCAACAAGTCCAGTGGAAGCATCTGGCACGGGATCAGGCGAGGTGACTGCTTCTCCAAGCTGCTAACCAGCTCCAGATGGCGACCAAGATAACGACCCTCCACGTCGTGGCCGTTTGCGGGACATTGTCGCGTGGGAGTTGACGACTAAGGGTTTGCCTACAAATACGCAGTCACTACGTTTAACAGTAATTTCTATAAAGTCTTTGGAGATCTTTTGACCTTCAGTCAAAGGTTAATGCTATTGATGTGGCACCTCATCAAGTCATCGAGACGCCGCAAAGCGCTTCACAACACTGTAAAGTGTAGTGACGTGTTTTGCGGGACGCCAAAAGCTGAAGAATGGCAAAGCTATATTTTCGGTGCCAATTTGCAGGAAGTACAGTCGCTGTTTGAAGCTCGAGGCTCCTCAGTGATTTTTGCCAACAGCAGCGAGGTGAGGGCTGACATACTGATTAGATGCGGTGGCTTCAGGGACTAATTAGGACTAATTCACTCCCTTAATCTCCTTTGATTCCTGTCTTGGTACTGCAACAACCCTCAGTGAATGCTGTTCAGCAAGAGCTGCCCGATTGAGGGAGCAGGTGTAGTGCGGGTGTAGTGGTGGTGGGGGTGGGGGGGGGGATGAGGGGGAAGAGGACCACAATTCACATGATGTGGGTTAAAAGATCTGCGCGCAATCGACCATCGTCACTGAGTAAGACGGCACTTCCTTCAGCGAGTTAATTCTCATCCTCGTCCACCCAGAGTCAGTGCTGCACTAACTCCAGTTTGGACTCATCAACATGAGTTACCGCATCACAGAAAAACTGAAGCAGAAGGGGTTTCTTCAACCCATCCTGCCTGTTATTATCCGATTACTAGATCTCGACAGATCTTTTAATCCCAATGCCCTGCTCTTTCGCCATAATCCTTTATTGCTTCTCCCACGATTAACCCTGCAAAGTATTTTTTTTTGGGGGGGGGGGGAGAGGAAATTCTTAAACCCAGGCTGGATTCTGAGCACCGCTTTCCACAGCTGCGTCTTTTTTTTAGAAGCTTTCTAAGCAGCTCTGCATTTCAGCGTTAAGATTGAAATGAAGAACTTTGCATAAATCAGCAGCAATCTTAAATTTTAAGAGAAAATGCTCTTGAAGCCTATAATAATAATAATAATAATCCTTGCATTTGATATAGCGCTTTTCACGTCGGGAGGACGTCTCAAAGCGCTTCACAGAACACACTGTAAAGTGAATTGACTGTATATCTGTGGGCGTACGCGGCAGCCAATTGCGCACAGCAATGTCCCACAAACAGTCGTAGATTGAAAATGACCAATTTATTATTGTTTTTGGTTTTGGAGGGATTATTATTAGGCTCTGTGTGGAGTAAGGAAACTTGTCCAAGGTTTCGCCCTCTGCCTGGAATTGAACTCAGGTCTCTCACTTGCAAAGCGAGTGCTCTAACCACTGAGCTACAGGACTCCACGCCTAGAATTAGAGGCTTGTACCCTTAGGGCTTGTGTTCTGCTGGGAAGGTTTTATACTCACTGATTTTTGTAAATCCTAAATAGCTTGCTCCTGGTAAGGAAGAGCCTAGAAAATATCTTACGCTGTTGAAAGAGTTGTTCGTTGTTGAGTGATCAGTGCTTTCAGAAAGCAGTCTACGTCCTTTAGACTTGAGGATGTCAGATGACTGTCACATACAAACCAGAGATTATTTTAGGAGGTTCCTGAGCGTATATACTATTCAGAGGGCTACAGAAGATAAGAAGGGGAAGGGTTGAGTTCCATAAACATCAACACACACAAGTTGGACTGGTGGCTTGTTCCTGTACCATATTATTCTATCTGTTTGTGTCTGTGTACACATTATTATAAATGCTTCTAATCAATGACCGCAGTGTTGTATCTGTATTCCTTTCAATAATTTACAGCAGTATCCATCCTTTGCAGTCGCGAGCAAAGTTCAAATCCTTGATACACCCTAAAACAATATCTTCCAGAGGCCCGAAATTCCACCTAGTTCACGGACGGATATTAAAATGTTCGTGAACAATATATTAATTTCGCAACGTGAAATAACATTGGTCCCCATGCAGTAGTTAAGGAATATATACAGTATATTCTGGCTGATATACAATGCAACACTATTTACCATACAAAGTTCAATTTAATATTTGGACAGTCTGTAGCCGCACTGATTGTTGGACTGCTGCGTGTGAACTGTACAGTGTAAGCAGAAGGCTTGGAAGATACTGCAGGTGAAGTTCAAGGGGTCAAGGATTAATGGGATGTTGATCCCTTCCACAGCATTCCTTAAAGTTCAGCGTCATCAACCACATTGAGAAATCGTACCAGAGCCGAGGGGAACATAATGAATTCAACAAGAAATCTGATCCAAATTCCCAAAGATGTTAACTCAAATCCATTTCTAATGCACCAGTACAGCACGTTATGTACAAGAGCCACACGTTCTTAATGAGTACAGTTCTGGTTGTCCAAATGACCTCTACGTGACTGCCCGGGACTGACCTCTGTTCTAATCATCAGGTTCATTCACATGTGTGGTATTGCAAGAAAACGTTGGATTCAGCACGATTTCCTTCGGCTTCTTGTGTCCTTGAAGCTGTTGTGTTTTTTTGTGATGGTGGGTGGTGGTGGGGCGGGGTTGGGGGGGGGGGGGGGCGCGGGGAGATGGGAGAAACCCACCCATTTATGATAGCAATTTTTGCATCGCATCTTTACGATGGATCACTGCCCTCGTCTGCAGAGCGAGAATCCTTCAAAAGCGAACTGGACAAGCACCTGAGCTGTCAAAAATAATGAGGAATGAGTGGGAGGGGGTGGTGGGGAGAGGGAAATCCGACAAATGGGATTAATCCAGACAAAAGGGAAGGGCAAGTTCAGAAAATTGGTATCATTGATTGTATCCTGCACAGAAAGGTTTTATGTGTCTAGAAACTGTTGTCTTCAAATCACTGCATGTTTTTGAGGTTTTTGACGGTGTCAAAGCTCCGCTTATTCTGTACTGTTATTTAATTTTTTTTGTGTTGACGACAATCCTTTTCGATGAATTACTCCGTCAGTCGGGGTTCAGTTAGGGGTGTAAGGGTGGTGAGGAGAGCGCATTGTTCAATGTTACGCGCCCAGTGTCAGCATCAAATCGTCAAAACAACAATTATTATTATTATTATTATTACTCCGTGGCCTCAGCGAGTGAGCGACTGGTGAATTCTAGCGAGATTTGCGCTAGAATCCCAAACTTGACTGAACGGCATTCCGTTGAACCATTCAGTTTCTCCTCTCCTCTCTTCTCCTCTCCTCAGCTTCCAGTGTCGTTTTTTTCAATCGTGTCGTGTTTTGTTCGTTCGGAATCTTTCTTGCGTTACTTTTGAGCGTGGTCTGAGTTTGCTGCTGTGGTACACGGATCTCTGGAAACATCCAGTCATTGCAAACGTTGTTACCTTTGACTCCTCGGATGCTCAGTTGGGAATTTCCTTCAGGTCCTCACCCTCACCTATAAATGCTTTCTCGTCCTAACACCTCCCTACATGTCTCGGATCTTCTCCTATCCCGCTCTCCTGTACTCGGCTACCTCTGCTTCGCTGCACATCCCCACTGCCCTGTCTGGGCCAGCATTGATAGCCGGGCATTCAGATCCTCCGGAATTCTCCTCCTCTATCCATCCATCTCCACCCCCTGCCACCCACCCCCTATCCCTCCTCTCCCCCCCACCCACCCCCTCTCAATCTTCGACCACGACAATAGTCACCTCCTGCTTGCTGTCAGATGTAAAGCTTTCCGAGACGTTATCCCCCCTATGCGTGCAGGGCGCTATCGAAATACAAATTGGTTGTTGTTGTTCACTACCCTGTCACAAGGTGTAGGAAATCCACCAGGAAGTAGTGACTTAGACTCGCCTGTTCTTTAACCGGCTGAAGCAAGATGGATGAGTCAAGTAGACCTGCAGATAGCTGGTCGCCGACGTAATAGATACCTCATGCAGTTATTTCATCAGCTTGCGCTCGGTTTGCACGCTCTGCTATAAAAGGGATGGCGTCAGCAGGGACGACTTGAGGATCAGCGCCTCGAGTAAACTTGTCAGCTGTTACAAGTCTGTACTAATTAAGTAGTTCTACACTTTCGTCCATGATACGGGTCAATCATTAAACTGGCAGCAAGTCTGGTATCACAAAATGCGGCCCCAGTAGGCTTCATTAAGTCGTATTAATCCACAAATGCCTCCTAAAGCGCTGTTACAATCCAGGTCCTGTTGCTGGGTGAACAGAGGGAGGTAAATCTCTTCTAATCTGAGTGGTTGGTTAATTTTGAGATGTGTTCCATCAGCGCCGTAAAACTCTCGGGTTCTGGTGTTCACCCGCAAGTACACAGTCACTCCTCTTTACAGCGCATCCTGTGAAGCGCTTTGGGTTGCCCTTCCAGTGTGAAAGGCGCTGAGGAGTCCTGTAGCTTAGTGTTTAGAGCACACGCCTCACAAGTGAGGGACCTGGGTTCGATTCCCAGGTCGAAACGTTAGGCAATTTTTTCTTACTCCACACGCTTTTGTTCACTAGCAGCAAATAGGAACTTGGTTGTTAGTCAATTGGCGGATGACTTTTCCGGGGGTAATAATCCCTTTTTTAAGAAAAAGAACAGTTTTCACAACAATAATAATTTGGTCTCTCATTCCACGACTGTTTGTGGGACGCTGCTGTGCGCAATTGGCTGACGTGTTTCGCCCACAAAATATACAGTCATTACACATTACAATATATTCTGTGAAGCGCTTTGAGACATCTCTAAGACGTGATAAGGCGCTGTATTAAATGCACGGATTATTATCTCTGTATTACAATGGAGCTGCTATAAAACTACGCTCTTTTCCTGGTCATTTTTCTTCAGATAGGTACACTTTCAACAGCGTGCCCTCAGATACCTCGTATGTTGAGCATCGTTTATGAGTGAGGCTTGACACTGAGGGTTGGTACTCTGTGTCAGGGCAGGCGGGGAGGGAATATAGCCGCGTCCATGTCTGCTCTTGCCTTGCCATCAACAACAACAACAACAAATTACATTTATAAAGCACCTTTCACGTCGGAGGACGTCCCATGGTGCTGGACAGTCAGTGATTTGGACCAGGGGTGGGGGGGGATGGAAGACGGGGGGGTAAGGAGGGTGGCCAAATGAACGGTCGAAGAGGAGGATCTTGAGACGCGCTTTGAAGGAGACAAGGGAGGGATCGATTCAAAAGGAACTGGGAAAGGAGTTCAAACGGGTGGAGTAGAAGCTGAAGGCCCGACCTCTGACGCTGGGGCGGAGTAGGGGACATGGAGCAGGCCGGAGACTGCTGAGAGGAGGGAGCGGACAGGTTGACATGTGGTTAGCAGATCACAGAGGTAGGAAGGAGCGAGGCAGTGGAGGGCCTTGAGGGCGAGGACGAGGATTTTGAACTATATCCTCTGGGGGATGGGGAGCCAGTGGAACCGGGCGAGGGCTGGGGAGGGGGTGGGGGGTAATAAGGTCAGTGCACAACTGTCATCGATGCACCCTCACCTCGGAGCAAGGGTCTCCAGGTAGCAATTAGAGGAGTGGGAGCAGTGGCTGATTCTACTCCCTGACCTGACCCTAAGGAGATGAGAACTGAGAAGTCTGAAAAACTAATAAAAGAGATTTAAGGGGTTTTATATTGCTGTAGATTGCTGGGTTCTTTACAATACGCAACAATAATAATAATAACCCTTGCATTTTATATATGCCTTATCACGTCTCCGAGATATCTCAAAGCGCTTTTTTGGTGGGGCGGGAGAGCTAAGGCAACGCCGTGCAGTGAGGCGGACATTCTTGACGGACCAAGCGTTCCATTAAAACGCAATGTTTGTTTTCAGAAGCAACTCTGAGAGGAGGAAAGAGAAATCGAGGGACGCAGCAAGATGTCGAAGGAGCAAAGAGACGGAGGTGTTTTACGAACTGGCGCATCAACTTCCGCTGCCCCACAATGTCAGCTCGCACCTTGACAAAGCCTCGATCATGCGACTGACGATCAGCTTCTTACGCACCCGCAAGCTTCTGACTTCAGGTAAGAGGTGAAGCCTCAGAGGGGATCTTGTAGAGGTATACAAGAGGCTCAGTGCAATGAAGTGAACTCACCAATACTACTTTCAGATGGGCCGAGGCAGCAGAACAGGAGGTCGCAGGTTCAAGGTCGGTGAAGAGTCAATTTTAAGACAGACATCGAGATTATATTTTTACAGTCGAACACACGGAATCGCTGGATTCATTTAAAATACATCTTATAATAATAATCCTTTCGTGTAATACAGCGGGGTGATGGGGCTCTTAACAATACCTGGCTGTTGTTTTGCATTGATACTCACTCACCTCTCGCACCGAGACCTCAGTCTTGATTCGTCAGTAGGGCTTTCGCTTCTGATTCAGAAGGTTGTGGGTCCAAAGCCCAATCTCGGGGCTTCACTGGGCTGACACTCCAGTACAGTGCTGGTGGAGTGCTGCATTGCCGTCCTTCAGATGAGACATAAGAATGAGGTCCCATCTTCCTTGGATAAGTTTTCCAGCCTTGCGAGTCGCCCTTGGTTGCTTTGATCAGTGGAACGCTATTCCCTTGACTGAGTCCAGTAGGTTATATGACAGTGGAGCGCATCACGTAGAGCTTGCCCCTGCCCTTACCCACTTTCCAGTATGTTTTGGGGGAGAGGGGTGGGGTGGGGGGGGGAAGTAGAGCCTATTATTAATTAATAGTGATCAGTGAACCTTCTGCCTTCCCCTCCGAGAGTAGAGAGAGTTCGAAGGTCATTATAAGATGTTTCTTTGTGCGAGAAGCGAGCACAAAATGTGTAAAACTGATAAGAGTCTTGCTGACGGTGTCCACTGACATGTTATTTTGTACAAAAAAAACTTTCAAGGACAACGCCATGCAGTTTAGTTTTTAAAAATAAGGTTTTCCAAGAAGCAGACTCTCCTGTCTGAGCTCTACGTAAATCCTGTCCGTCGGTGGGGGGACGGAGGCTGGCATCAGACAAGCTCTCCTGTAAAACTGCCTGTGATCTGTTGGGTTACATTTACGTGGTTTGTCATTCACAGTTAATCTCACATTGTCCAATTTTAGCCACTGTTGAAGAACCAAAAGACCTTGCATTTGTTCAGAGCGTCGGAAGAACATCTTCTGTCGGTGCGTGGAACGATTTGCCAGGGGCTGCTAGAGCAGTCGTTCGGGAGCATTTAGAAAAAAGGATTGGCAGGAAAGAAACCTGCAAAGGATATGGGGAAAGAGCAGGGAATTGGGATAGGGGTTCACTGCTTCTTGGAGGAGCAAACATCCATGTTAAATAAAAGACCAAACGAACTCTTCACTTGAACATTTCTACGGTTCTATGGGATACATAGTGTAGGGTATCTCGTAACTCCAAAGCGTTAGACTGAGCTTAAGAGAGGATTAAAGGATTCCCTTTCCAACAGTGTGATAATACCACTGCTGATAATTATCACATCAAATGTCACTTGCAGAGGAAAAGTCTAAGACAGTCGAGGGAAAGAGCAGGGAATTGGAATTAGGGTGGACTGCTCCATGGAGGAGCAAACACCCTTACAAAATAAAGGACCCAAAAAATTCTTACGCATGTTGTACATCTCTACAGTTGGGACATTTTTCACTCCAGTCTTTCCGAAAGTCTAGTTGTAAGTGTATTGGAAGGCGTTCCTTATTCTGCAGCCCAGAACCCCTTTCATCTCGTAAATCTGCTCTGGGAATGCTGTGGGAGCGCTCAGAAAAAGCAGCTTTGGTTGCTCAACTACGGATCAGTTTGAGATTAGTATCACAGGAAGTCGGTTGGAACAATGGTACAGTAATATCACTTCCATGTTCTTTGCAGAGGGTACATAGTGTGACTGGAAAATTAATAAAGTTTGATTTAGCAAGCTTACAGTATTTCTTCTCCCAAGGTTTGCGAAGGAACAAGCCCAACTCTATTTGTACCAAAAAAAGTTCAAGTGAATACTTTCACTCTATTGGAGAGAAATTCCACTTGGACCTAGATGTTATTATAATAATAATAATAATAATAATAATATACTTCAGAGGGACCAGACATTGAAAGACTGGGGAGAAAGAGCTCATTTGATGTGAAAATTAAGTAGCAGTAAGTAGGAACCTGGTTGTTAGTTCATTGGCGGATCGCTTTTTTGCGGGTAATTATCCCTTATATAAAAAAAATGGGGTCACTCAATGCACGACTGTTTGTGGGACGTCGCTGTGCGCAATTGGCTGCCGCGATTTGCCCATAAAATGTACAGTCAATTCACATTACGCTGTACTCTGCAAAGCGCTTTGAGACCTCTCGAAGACGTGATAAGGCGCTATATCAAATGCAAGGATTATCATTAATTATCACCAGTGTTATTATCTATTACCACATGGTTGGAAAGGTGACAGTTTGTCAGCCCTGAAGAGTGGTCCGGTGCTGATACCTTAGACTAGTGTTTCATTTCGTTGAATGGATCAGAACGAGTACCTTCAGGCCCCGGCAATCAGTTCTTACACAATATCTGGACACTCCAGTGCAGAACTCCGAGAGCGCTACATTATCAAGAGGTGCCTCGTTCTTTTGGACGAGATGTTTAAACCGAGGTCTGGTGTGCCTGTTAAAGATCACTTGATGTTATCTCAAAGAGAAGTGAGTTATTACCGGAGTCCTGACTTAAAAAATAAACCCTGGGCTAAATTAGTCATTTGCTTCATGTCAGTTTGCTGGATTTTGCTTTGCGCCAAATGCTTTGCGGCATTTGTCCATAAAGATGGTCACTATAGGTGACAGCAATTCCCTGTGAAGCCCTTTGAGGAACTTCAATGTTGTAAACTCAGTATCAAATGCTATTATTATTATCTGTGTGTGTTTGTGGGGTGGGGCGGGGTGAGGGGGTGGGGGTGGGAAAGGGATTTTTAGTCCTAAAGCTGTCGTACACAAGCAGGTTTTAAAGATAAATTTTAACTGCATTTCTGTTGAGTTTATAAACCATTCCTTAATGAAGGAATAAGTAAGGAAATGCATGTGTTCAGGAATACTGAGTTTTTCCTCTTCTTTTTCCCCAAGCCCCACCTTCCCCCAACTTTGAATTGCTTCCCGTTCTGTACAATGCCTCTCTGCTGCTAAGACCCAGTATCGCTCTTTTGTTTTTTCCTTCTGACCAAATAGCGACGGGGGCAGAATCTACCTCGGGACTGTTGTCGGCTCGAAACGTTCATTTGTTTAAGTTCTCAGGGTCCCAGTCAAAGGATGTTAACAATAAATAATTGGAACTCAGCAGATTGTGCATCGGTACTCATCCTAAAAAGGAAGCGGAGGGGCGCTCATTAAAAATATTCTCTGAAACTTCAGTACTTGTGAACATCCTGTTATGGACAAAAAAATTTTTTTTAAATAATGCTTGTCTGTAGCTGCTATTTTTAAAGCTAAGAGGCAGTTACTGAAAATAATTCAGTGAAAGCTTCAACTCACCTTGGCAGGGCCAAAAGGCCCTTTGCTTTAGTTGGTTTACAGAAGGCTATTTATAACATGTGTTCCTCAAGTCCAAACTGCCGTTCGATGGCTCGGATTCCACAATATTATGATTTTTTTTGATAACAAGAGTGGTAACTAAAAATGCGTCCTGTTGTCGATGGAACTTCATAATAACTAATAATCCTTGCACTTGATACAGCGCCTTATCACTTCTTTGAGACGTCTCAAAGCGTTTCACAGGATACACTGTAAAGCGTAGCGACTGCCTATTTGGTGGACGAAACACGATAACTTGATTGACTCGCAAAGACCATCACCGCAACATAAGCAAGGGGAGAGGGCTGGGAGAGTTAGTTTGGTTAAGACGTAATGAGAGTTGAAGTGGTATCCGGAATGTTTTTTTAAAAAGGGAATTAGATGCATATTTAAAGAGGAAATATAATAATAATATGTAAAAGCATAGGACACGGAAAAGGACAGGGGAATGGAGCTGAACACTTGGCTCCGTGAGCCATGGAAAATAAATAGACCGAATGATCTTTTTCTCCGCTGTAAATCTCTACGGATGAAATGGTAGTTTTTTGAGTCAAAGACGATTTGTTTACAGTCCTTCAGTTCATTCAGAGATGACCATTAGGGAATGAAAGTGTTGTATTTTACTCCCTATTTTCCGATGGCCTGGGAATTGTGAAGATTTTCCATAATTCTGCACTTTTGCTCCCAGGCAAACCTTTTGACTTTCGTGGTTTCACAATTCTTGGCTTTTATTTAAATATTCTTATTCTGGAAGTGATTGGACGGGGGTCGGGGGCGGGTGGGGGGGGGGGGTTTGGGGGAGAGAAACCAGGAAAAGCAAGAGTGGATGGGAGATATTATTTGACGCAGGAATATTAAAATATTCGTCGCAAGTTGTCATCTTGGCTTTACGATGGCAGTTCTTCCCAGTCTTCAAAGGCATTCCCCAATAGCATTGTGCGCTGAATGATCACCTCTTGAGTTAAGAAATTCAAAGAAATTCAAAACAAATACAGCGAAAAGGTCAAGGAGCTATGGGTTGGTGGGAAGCAAGATACTCTGGAGTTTGTTTTGGGCAACAGCCAACTTCTCAGTAGAATACGCAACCACCGTCTTCAAGCAGTAGCAGTTTGGAGGACTTGAGTATAACTTACGACCCAAATTCCTGTGTGAAAGTTCATCATCTGTTGCTGCTTTTTTTTAAAAAAAACAGCAGATAAATTGCCAGTAATGTGCTTTTTTTAAAACAAATTCCACAATGTTATCTGAAGGCCCATTTACCAGCAGAAGAAGAATAATCCTTGCATTTGATGTAGCGCCTGATCGCTCCTTCGAGCCGTCTCAAAGCACTTCACAGAATACACCGCAAAGTGAATTGACTGTATATTTTGTGGGCGAAACGCGGAAGCCAGTTGCGCACAGCAGCGGCCCACAAACAGCCGTGGATTGAGTGACCAAAGATTTTTTTAATTGTTATTTTTTTTGAACGGATCATCAGCCTCGGAAAAGCGATCCCTGTTAAAACCTTCTCTTTAAAAGGCATTTGGAGAATTTTAAACTGGCCGCTGTTTGTAGCAGTGTCGAAAGCAGCAATGCACTGCATTAATAATAATCCTATAATGTCAAAATGTCTGAAAGAGCTTCATGACAAATCTCTTTTGAATGTAGTGACTGTGCATTTCCCGGTGAACTCAGCAGCCAATTTGTGGGCTGCAGTGTCCCACAAACAGCCACAACCAGTTTTTCTGGGGAATTGTTGTCCAGGAACCTGGAGGAAACTCCCTTCTCTTTTTGAGTTGTGTCATTGGTATTCTAATGTCGAACAAGATAATGACGTCAGTTCTGCAACTGGCGACAGTACTTCTGTGAAATCACTTTTTTGTTTGTAAAGTCCCTGACTTCAGTACGTTTCCCTAACGCACGTTGCCCTCTGGAACCTCACACGTGGCCAATCTTCACACATCAGTCGGGACGCTCTTTACAACCTTCTAACAAGGGCAGAATCAAGTTTCACTGAGTCGTAACAGTCAAGTAGATTCCGATTGCTTGACGTATGTAGGAGCGGACACCGAGCAGGGAGTTTTCAAGATGGTCGAATAACGGTCGAAGAGTTAAATTATTAAGAGGTTTTCGAAGACAGGGATGGAGAGAGAGAGAGAGAGAGACAGAAAGAGGCATCAAGCAAAAGTGTGGCTTTTTTTTTAGAAGGCAGACATCTAACCTGGGAGTGTTTTGATGCTGATGGCGGTAGCAAATAATGCCAAAATGTTCCTTTCCTAATAAATGGCATATCTCGTCAAGCGGAAAATGTGCAAACAACAAACTCTTCTCCTCGTTCCAATTACAGGATATTTTATTTTGTTTCTAGGGCTGGAAAATGAGACCGACTCTGAGAGGCAGATGGACAGTTTGTACCTTAAAGCCCTGGAGGGATTTATTACCGTGGTCACGCAGGATGGAGACATAATTTTCCTGTCGGAAAATGTAAATAAACACATGGGTATCGCACAGGTGAGTTCACAAGGGCAGGGCATTGCACCAGACTAAATCTCAGCAAACTGCAGTGAACCTCACGGCTATAAATGTGCAGCCTTTCACTTTGTATCAGGTGGCGTTGATCTTATTGTGCTCCTCTACTGGCTCCAGTAAGGTTAAAAAATAACCAGGAGAAAATGTATTCAGGTGAGGGGTTATTGCAACAGAAACTATTGTCACGAGGCAAGCAATAAAAGCTTTTAACTCTTATTATGTACCCACAATCGGGTAACGCAATATCATAAAGGTATTGAACCATTCAATACTAATGAGACACGTTGCACGGTCCACACCAAAGGGCCTTTAAAGACCGAGGAATAGGTTGTGGGGATGGGATGTGGGTGTCTATAATATAGAATATTAGTTCTTTTTTGAAAAAATTACAATGCAAGCCCATTTTATATTTATGTAGTGGCTTTCATGTCAGGAGGACATCTCAAAGCATTTGACTGCTGGTTGGGAGCTGCGACCAAGTGGTTCAGGAGAGGAATGTTGGCCGAAAGTGTGGTCAAGGATTCATGTTTTGAGAAGGACCTTGAATGAGCAGATGAAGTTCCAGAGAGCAGAGACAGATTGGCTGAAAGCCTTCCCGCTGAGGTTGGGGCAGATATAGGGGACATGAAGCAGGCAAAATTGGTTCCAAACCATTCATTAATTCTAACTTTTTTTTTTGGCTTTACATGAATAGTTCCACTTGCACTTTGGAAATCTGAAATGGTTAAAACGAATCTCATTTCTGTGCAATTCAATGCAGTTATTTGCCTCTGCGCCCAGGGTTTCCACGATCTGTTGACATTAAAGGCAGGAATGATGTTTTGTGTTACTAATCTCACACTATTTCTGCGCTAGGTGGAGTTGACGGGGCACAGCATTTTTGATTTCACCCACCCGTGTGATCACGAGGAGATCAGAGAAAACCTGACTCTGAAAAATGGTTAGTATTTGCCTTTATTTGATGGTGTGCAGTTTCTGTTCTCCGCTGTTGCTTGTCCCTCTCCTCTTGTCACCGTGACATCTCTCCAGCGATCGCTACAACATTTAGAGCTTTTTATATTCCAGACCCCCTTGTTACAAAGGCCAGGAACCCATTAGAGATGAGGAGCTTTCCACAGAAGGGATCGAATGCAGGATCTTTTCAGTCCATAAGTCTTATCTGCTTGCTCGATAATCTTGCTGAGCTATTGGAGGAAGAGAGTTTTCGCACTTGGGAGACTTGAAAGTTTTCTTTTTTAAAATTGCCAAAAGATGATTGTGATAATGATCGGGATTACACATGTCGCACTTAATTCAGTGAGTCGTATGGCCTTTACATCACCCGTTATCTCGGAAGAACAGATTTGCGAGGCAGTGCTGAGGTCATCCTGCCGCCAACCATCTACAGTGTTGACTCTGAATTTCATCACTTCTCATCTGCACCAATAGATAAGGTGAAAGGCCTTGCTCCAGCTTTGGGTGCTACGTCTTTAAGAGTGGGGAAAGTGGAACGTTTCTACCCCTACGAGCACGCTTTTCCCGTTGGCAGACAATGAAGCAGTGTTAAGGGCAGTTGTGACATCTCTCCGAATTGCTGGCAGCAAGTTGAAAAATCAGGGACAATTTTTTTATCATCAAAGAAAAAAGGATGTCGCAAACCTTAAGAGGGTCACAGTTACCATTTTCCTTATCTTCGACTTCAATTAAATCTGCAAGTGCGTGGGGGGGGTATTTTTTTGGAGAAGGGAGGGATACCAAGAAATTACAACACAAGAAATAATTTGATACGTCATGTCTATGCTGATCTTAACTCCTCCATGAGATACATCGCTCTGCCTTTTTATGCTGCTTCTCTTCAAGTACTTATCCAATTTCCTTTGACATTTTGCTAAAACTTTAGCGTCAACACTTGGATGAAATGTTCGGTGTTCTAATAACCCTCTGTGTTGAAACATTTATTGCAACTTTCCCCCTTAACGTTTACAGTGACAATCCTGAACCTGCATCCAACCTGCCCGCTCCCTCCGGTCAACGGGCTCCGGGCTGCTCCATGTCTCCCGCCCGACCCGCCCTACCATCGGTGGCCGGGCTTTGAGCCTCTCTGCCCCCACACTCTGGAACTCCATCCCACGGCCCCTTCGCCTCGCTTCCTCCCTCGTCTCCTTCAAGGCCGGTCTCAAGACCCTTCTCTTTGATCGTGCCTTTAGTCGCCCTCCCACCTCCCTGCCTTCCCTCACCCTTACCCCACCCCTCCCCCACGCTCGGGCCCCGACACCTGACTGTCCAGCGCTTTGGGACATCCTCCCGACCGACGGGAAAGGCGCTCTATAAATGTCATTTTGTTGTTGCTGTTGTTGCATCCATCAATGACCAAATCACCAATCAGGAAAAATAACCATTCACTCTTCACCCTTTCATAATCTCTCAGGGTTTTGAAAACCTCTGATAGATCCTCGCTTAACCTACCCTGTTCTGGTCCCCAGTTTTTCAAGCCTATTTTCATAACGATAAAGGGATCTTAAACTATAAAGTACTTTTCTGCTTGCTGCATCATCGAAGGTGCCATCCTCTGGATGGAGACACGAAATTGAGGGCCGTCTGCCCTGTTCGGGTGGACGTCGACGATCCAATGTCACTATTCTAAGCGCTATAAGATGCTTCGCTGTGTAAGTTGTTGTCATTGATGTTAGTTGAAAACAAAAGAAAGGAATTTCTCCTGCTCTCCTGTCCAACAAACCTCAGATAAATTAATCATTTCCCACCCGCCCCACACCCCTCCCGGCTGTTTGTAGCTGCACAGAAACTTACTGTTGCGTTCGCCTTTGCGTACACAATCACTTCGCAGAAAAACTCTGAAGCCCGTTGAGATGTTTGGATGTGCTAAGGCGCTGGGTCAAACACAAGGATAATTATAACTTTGGAAAATGTTGCCCGTGAGCACAATGGTTTAACTGGAAATGAACAATTTGGTTGCCTGGCAGCTCCGGGTTTCGGAAAGAAAAACAAAGACCTGAACACAGAGCGAGACTTCTTCATGAGAATGAAATGTACCGTGACAAACCGTGGCAGAACAGTGAACCTCAAGTCTGCCACCTGGAAGGTGAGAAACCACGAGAGAGCGTTCACTTAAAAAAAAAAAAAGCTGAATTGGTATATTTTGCTCCGATATGGTTTTGTGGGTCAAAAGTTCAAGTTTGGGGAGCAAGCAATTCAGATTTTATTTTTTCTTTCTGACACAAAAAAATTAAATGGAAAGGAAAGGCAAAAAAAAAAAAATTCTCCTGTGTGCGTGCGTGTGCGTGTGCGCGTGCGCGTGCGCGTGTGTGTGAGAAACTCATCGACAACTCATACGTTCCGTGATCGGGAATGATTGCTAAGTTCCACTACCGTTCCGGGGCATTCCTGCTGCGTGGCTCACAGCGGAAAAACTGCTTGTTCGCTCAGCGCGAGTCGGCCAGAGTTTGGATTCCAGTGGCATCTGACCTTGAGACTTGAGTGGGTTACGCCTGTCCCCGTTGGGAGCTGACGGTGCGGCCTGCGATGGGCGTAATCTCCACCTACCGGCTCTCGCCACTCGGTTTTCCATTTTTTTCTTCAAAAAGAGAAACTGGGCTACTCTTGGAATGGTTCGTGATTAAACTTGAGGAAAAGGAGGAAGGAGGGGGGGGGAGGTGGTCGGGAGGGGCCAGTGCAACAGATGTGCAGACTTGTAGTCTAGTCTTGTTTGTCTGCCAAGAGATTCCTGTTTTTCACCCCCCACCCCCCTCCGCTTTTCCCTGCCAGAGAGGGTCAAATGCCAATTCCCTTCCATACACCGCCTGTTAATGCCGTTGATGGCGGTGCTGTATGGAAGGGAATTGTAGGTTGAGGTGTGGTTGTATGTTTTGTGTGTGTGTGTGTGTGTGTGTGTGTGCGGTGTGTGTGGCGGGGGGAATGGGGCTCTGTCCTATATTAGTTTCGACTCACAAAGGGATAGAAGTCTCCAGTGTATTCCAGTAATATTCCTAAATACAAAGGCCGTTTTTTTCTTCTTTTTTTAAGCTAGAGTTAGGATTGTTTCTCAGCCACGAGCAGTGTGGTGCTCACGAAGCAGGATGTAGATTCCCACCTCCAGGGAGGGAGTTGAGGCAGTGAGAAAGAAATCAGAATTATTTATTAACAGCGTCGTGAGGCAGGGCCTTGGGATCAAGGGAGAAAGGAGAAGGAAAAGGAAAGAGTTGAACACAGTGAAAAAATGCACGGGTTTACCGTATACAGAAGGTGGATGGATTGTTGGTTGACTTTCCCGAAGGTTGACTTATTAGAATCGTAGAATCCTGCGGCACAGAAGGAGGCCATTCGGCTCAAAGTGCCCGTGCTGGCTCTTTAAAAGAGCTTCCAAATAGTCCCCCCCCATTCGTTCCCCACAGCCTCGCAACCTTTTTTCGATCCAATTCCTTTTTGAGAGTTACCGTTGAATCTGCTTCCGCCACCCTTTCAGGCACATGCACTCCAAATTGTCACAATTCACTGCGTAAATAAAAATTCTTCTCATCTCCCCTCTGGTTCTTTTGCCAATTATCTTAAATCCGTGTCCTCTGGTTAACGACCCACCCGCCAGAGGAGACAGTTTCTCCTTAATATTTCGTCATTAATATTTCTCCACTGCATTGATGCTGTTTTTCAGTGCATTTATTCGTCTCTTATACCACTCGCACACGTAATCTATACACAGTTGCTTCGATGGCCTTAGCAATCAATCATCGAAGCTGAAATACAGCAGGGATGTGAGTAATGTTTTTGTACAAACCTGGATGTAAAAACAGATGCCCTACTTACGCCTGCGCGCAATCCAATCTTAATTATCAATCTGATTTCATTAAGGTGCTCCACTGCACAGGGCACATCAAGATGTACAACACCTGCCTCCCCCATACTCTGTGCGGTTACAAGGAGCCACCTCTAACCTGCCTGATTATGATGTGCGAGCCCATTCAGCACCCGTCTAACATTGACGTCCCACTGGACAGCAAGACCTTCCTGAGCCGTCACAGCATGGATATGAAGTTCACCTACTGCGATGAGAGGTAATGAAATACCTTCGTCCCCGGACTTGGAAGCCTGGGAAATGATAGCAGACTCTTGACACAACAACAACGTCGCCACCTGATCCGCAGTGAGCGGACTGTGTACCAATTCCCCTATCACCCGCTTCACAGGAATCTACAGTTTCTGTTACGTTAAAGCCCCTTTAAGTGGCTCAATCCAATCAGCCAAGGTCCCTGAAACATGTCAATGACCCCGATCACAGACTGTTCTCAGTAAATGGAATGCACGATCCGATCAGGCCTGTCAGAGGAACTGCTCGGCCTGCTATTAAACATCCGGTGCTTAAGTAGGAGCCTTGTGATCAGGATCAAGGCATCCTATGATTGAGATCATGTTGCTGCCAGCATGAAAAGCAGGCATAACATAGCAAGTTTATCTCCACGAGTTCTAAGCGAGCTCGTCGAGCCTTGTGCTGCTAGTTTGCAGAGCCTGCCGATATAAAGCCATTCCCGTTCATAGCTTTCCAGTCTCGTTTGGGCCCACAAGTTGACAGAAACGTGTGCTATTTGCCCGGTTGTTACATTTCCTGCTCTCTTTTTTTCCCCTCCCCCCCCCCCCCCTCTCCCCATGTTGAACTAAGTGTCCTATCCCGAAGGCTCCTAGAATGGGAAGAGAAGCCTGTTAAGGGATTTCCTCCCTTTGTGGTGACTGGGAGTCAAAGAATTTCTTGGCACTTGGGAACTTTTGAGTACATTCCACTGTTGTGCCAACCCCGAAGCACCAAGCCGATGATTTTCAGTTTCAATTCAACCTGTTGACCACACGTGCGTGAGCGCCACGTAACACTTTATTCTCCCGTGCGACTCGCTGCGTAAAGCCAGCAAAACCTTGCCCTCGTAAATTTGCGCTTTTTCGCCTTCCTCCCGTTAGTTAAGCTTGGCAATCAGTGCACGAGACCTTCATTGGATCTAGGTTTTTAATCAAAGAAAAATGGCTCATCGTTTCGGTGGCTATTTATCATGAAATTAAAAAGAAAAATCCAACACCTCCTGCCGTCCCTGCCCAGTATTGGATGGCACGTGGGTAAATCAGCGACAGGTTGCTTGTCGAAAAATTATGGAGAATCCAGGGAATTCATGGAGTCGATTTAATGGACATTCATTTGGATTGGCACAGGAACAGGAGGCCATTCAATCCTTTGAGCTTACTCTTATCAGTTTTAGATCTCAGCAGATCTTTTGATCCCAATGCCCTTTTGGCCCCTTTTGTCATACCTTTTCACAGCATGTAGGCAAATATTCAAGTCACAGCCCCCAGGGTGTGACTGATCGTTCGCAGTCCTGTATCTCGCTGTATAAGTGTATTTTTTTTAACCCATTCTGCTCTCATTTTGCATTTCGCTTGCATTTTGCGAGATCATTGGGCAGTACTGGCCACTGCTGCGAAACGGTGAAAGCCTTTGATATAATGGTGGCTTTTCATTCCCATTGTAGTCTCAGATCAAGTTTGCGATTAATTTATTGCGACATCCAGTGCATAAGTCACATCTTATGTGGAATCCTGTAGCTCACTGGTTAGAGCACTCGCCTCACAAGTGAGAGACCTGGGTTCGATTTCCGGGCAGGGCAAAACGTTGGGCAAGTATCCTTACTTCACACGCCTCTGTTTACCCAGCAGTAAGTAGGAACCTGGTTGTTAGTCGATTGGCACATCGCTTTTCCGGGGGTAATAATCCCTTCAAAAAAAAATAAGTCGGTCACTCCAATCCACGACTGTTTGTGGGACGCCGCTATGCGCAATTGGCAGTCGCATTGCACCCACAAAGTATACAGTCAACTCACTTTACAGTATATTCTGTGAAGCGCTTTGAGACGACAAAATAATCCTTGCATTTGATATAGCGCTTTATCACGTGATATGATAAGGTGCTATATCAAATGCAAGGATTATTTGTGCGAGTATGATACAAGTGCGAGTGCATTGATGTTTTCCTTTCCCCACACCAATTACCTTCTCCGCATTCAACACACGTGTAACGAGTGCAGACAATTGTGTCCAGGGATTGAGGATTAACTTAATAATTAGCTTCTCAAGATAAGGGAAGTGGAAGAAATATGCTGTCAAATGTCCCTATAGTCAGCAGAAGCAAGTGTTCAAACAAAATTGCAAGCTCTGCATGTTTTGTAAGATTCTTTGCTACTGAGTGTTTTGTATATTGTACTGTGAAATCATGTAGACTGATTCCAAAAGAGATTAGTGCATCAGATCTTAGCAAGGAAAAATGCACACACTTACTAAAGTATTGGTGAGCGACATTAATCACCTGAATGGTTACCGTTTTGAGACGTAAATCATGGTTTAAGTTTGCCTAATGCTGACTTGACTGGAGAAAACTATTAATAAATGATCTGACTAATTCTACTTTTCCTCATTTTACAACCACAGATGTGTTGTGAGTTGAATTCTCTAAAATTCAACAAACTGTCATTTTCGTTGATCTTAAAATCACCAGATCTAATTTACAATATTTCTGAAGAAATGTGGAGGTATCAAATTTCCAAAACATTTGAGTTCGTTAGAGATTTGATATTGCATTCGTCAGCACATTCCATGATCGCACATTTATTTTTAAGAAATTTGCTAAGCAATGCTTTAATTAGACTTCTGCGTTTCTTGGGCCCGGTTTACAACAGAGCATATGTTGTACTTGGAATGGGTCACTGCAAGAGTGTGTCATAAAATGTAGGCAAGAGAGGCTTTCATCAAACGGAAGGATTTTAATTATGAAAGCCAAAATCCAGCTGATTAATGTTATTTTGAAGGCCCCTTTCACCCATTTTAAGTCACTACTGGTACATTCAAACTGTATTTATCCACAGGGCAATTTCCTTAGTTTACAAGAAAACTTTTAATCCAGTGCGATTCTGCCCTGTTCACGCTCACTGTTACTGTCCTGATCACTTGTCTTGAGACAACTGGTGTGGTTTGTTTCATGGCCTATCGTGCTTTGTTATATACGCAGTGGTAGATCTCTCACAATTCAACCTCTTAACAGAAGTTTTTGGCATAAAGATGTTATTTGTCATCTCAGGCTGGAGCTAGTCAGGGTTTAGTGAAAGGAGGCTTCATTGAGATTCATTGAAAACTGTGTTACAAGTATATTTTCTGGGTGACCAGTGGTCACAGTCAATCAGGAAACAGGTTAAAACTCACATCAAATGTGCAATCAATTATGTTCAAATTCTTTCCTTCAAGCTTACAGTGGACGAGTTTTACAGAGGCTTGATTAAATCAAACTAAAAGCAAGTTTGTGTCCTTTTCCCCCCGCCCCACCCCATCCCCGCCACCCATCCGACCCCCATAAAGGTAATATGCATTTGCTTGTGTTGGATTAGATATGTTCACGCCAAATTAAATCATCCCCCGGGCCGGATGTGGCCCCTGGGCCGACAGTTGGACCATCCTGCCCTAGGTTGACAATCTAGTGCAGCTATGTCAGGCCGTAATAAACAATGTGAACAGGATGTTGGGCTACATGGCTAAATAAATTGAGTTTACATCCCTCAAGGTCGTACTCAGACTGTGCTGTGGTCAGACTGCTTCTTGATGCTACATACAGTTCCGGTCACATAAGGGACATAAGGGACACATGCCTTGGAGACAGTGCAAAGGAGAGCAATAAGGATGATTCCCCCAGTGTTAAAGGAACGAGCATTGAGCAACAATTAGACAAGCTAGGGCTCTTCGGTCTTAAGACAACTCAAAAGTGGACCTTGCAGAGGTGTGTCAAATTTTAAACGGGATTGAAAAATGACCTCAACACTTTAGGATGCTGCGAGGTAGTAGAACAAGAAGACGTGGAGTTGTAAAGGGCAATTTCAGGACAGATACCAGGAAAGTTTTTCTTTACGCACCAACAACTGGTACAGGTTATTATTTAAAAAGCATCTTGATGCATTGATGGGGGTGACGGGAGGGTGAGTGTCCTAGGCGGATAAGATTGAGTGAGCCAACCTGTGATCTTTCAAAATGTTGGACACCATATCGGCTGGATGTATTTTTCCTTGTTGTACGGTGTAGTCGTTGTGGACAAACTGTGATGGTTTGACATTTGTTTCTCCACAGAGTCACGACACTGATGGGGTACCATCCAGAAGAACTCCTGGGTCGTTCGGTCTATGAGTTTTACCATGCACTGGATTCAGACCACATGACAAAGAGTCACCAGAACTGTAAGTAGTGCACGTTTGTGGCTTAATGAGGGGCAGCACACAAGTTAAAATTAATGCCTCTTTATGTAAAGCAAAATATACGGGGCAATACATGTGCTGTTTATGAAAACATTTTTAAAAAAAATCGTTGAGTGATGGTTCCTCCAGACGCAGCATTTGGATTCCAATAGCTTTTGTACAGTTCATTGGTACAGATGCAGTCGCACATTTAATACGTGCGCGAATTATCCTTCCGTTTGCACTCCTCTTTTCAGTGCTTGAGTGATTCAGTGTTGCGGGTGTAGCAGGACTTCACCTACGAACAGAGAGAGAAAAAAATACAGTGGAGAGAGGAAAGGAAATTTTGAAGCATTGTATTATGTTGAAATGGCTTGAGATAATTCCGCGACATTGCAAACATCCAAGCCGAACGATCAATTTTGGTGGAGGATTTATTGGCCAGGACACTTGTCGGAAACTTTGTTCTCGTTTTGAATAGTGTAATGAGAAGGGGTGGGTGGAAGAAAAGGAGAAACATAACTGGCGTGGCTCCACTCTGCGGTGAGCACAGCATTATGTTCTGGTTAACTGTGCCAGTGGCTGCCTACATAACTGTTTAATGTGATAAAATTGCACAAAGTTAATGATAATCCTTGCACCTGATACAGCCCCTTTTCGGGTTGAGAGGATATCTCGAAGCACTTCACAGGATTTACGGTAAACAACAGTGACTGCCTTTTGTAGGCAAAACAGCGCAGCTAATATTTGCACCACTGAAGTTCGTGAACAATTTTATTGATGGATTCTAGACCAGAACACTGGGAGGCAACTGCCTTCTCTTTTCAAGTCATGCCATAGACACTATCCATCTAAACAGGCAGACGGGACTTCAGTTAATGTGTGATCTGAAGGACAAAACCTCCAACAATGCATCGCACCTCCGGCTCTGCCTTGGAAGGTCATGTCTAAGCCTATGAGTTTCAGAGTCCTGACATGGGACTTAAACCCACATCCTTCTGACTCAACCGAAGAGTACAACCAACTGAGCCAATTGAAACCAAAGGTACTTAGAGTTGGAGATTTGAGAAAAATGTTAAATACTTTTTTTTTGCACACCAAAAATAAGTATGTAATTTGTGTGAATCGGTAAAAGCCATAATCCCTTTCCCCATAAATCCCTTTGTCCAGGTCCGTGACTTTGGGGCACTTTCTATTGAAATCTTTGCATTTTGCCTGATGGGCAGTGCTGCAGGGATAATGATTATACACGCTAGGAATATTCCAGTTGAGAAGAGAAAGAAACCACAGTATTTTGTACTTTACTCCCCACCCCTTTAATCAGATAATGATTCTGAATGTTAGGATCTGACCTATTTTGGATTACAATCAACAATTCACATCCCTTTCCCCAGTGACATTGTAGGAGAGGGGACGATGACAGAAAGAACGAGAGTCTTTGACTAAGGTATAGGGTTTGAACAGTATTTAAGATGGATTAAAGTCACACTCGCCCACAATTTTTTGTACCATCGCCTACGTGCAGGACTGGGGGAGTGTGGGAGGTTGGGGGGGGGGTCTGATAAAGCCCTCCCTGATAAGTCTTGAGCAAGAGAAAGCCTTTGACAGGGTATCTCACGGTCACATGAATGAGATTTTCGGGAAGGGAATACGCAAGGGGATCCGACTGCTCTACACGGGCATCTGTGGCGCAGTCACGGTCAAGGGTTCGAGACCGAGCCGATCCGCATCAGGTCGGGAGTAAACCAGTTGCTGTCCCCAATCCCTCACCCTGTTTGTCTGCTGCATCGAACCCTTTGCACAGGCCATCAGGAGGGAGAGGGCATCAGAGGTAGCATCGTTCCGGGCGGGTAGCCATGGCACTCAAGCCAAGGCCTCCCCATGGATGGGCGATGTCGCCGTCCTTTGTGCAGACCAGTTAATCGGTCTGGAGCCTGCTGCTAGGCATTTGCCGCCGGCCTGCCGAGAAAAGCTGGGAGCAGCGTCTAGGCACAGGGAGGAAGAAACTGGTGATGTGGTGCCAGTGCTCACTGTCCATCACCGGGAAGCATCTGGTGATAAAGCGCGAGGGCCCTCTCAGTGTTACTGTACTTGGCCCAGATCTGGCCTTTGACCAGGAACGAGGCCAATGCAGTCACCAGAGAGGCCTTCCAACTGATCAGGGGTTTCAAGATGGATCGCGTCCGCAGAGACACGATGCACAAAACCCCGGGAAAGTGTTTTTTGTTTTTTGTACCGGGAGAAAAGGGAAAAAAATTGTAACAGCTGTTGTATTTGTTTCGGATTTCTGTTGTGTTCAATGTTATATTTATAAATAAATAAATATATATTTTCCCCCCCCCCCACCACCCAAAAAAAAACTATTTGCTGGTGCTTCAAGGGTGCCCATTAAAGCAAAGAGCTGCTGTTTAAAAAGTGATTGTTTTAATCATTGCTCAGTTGGATTCTATGGAACCCATGTTTCAGCTCTGTGGATAACTTTAAACAAAAGTTCTTCCATCCTAAAGGCGTCAAATGTCTGATCATTTTCGACAATAAACAGAATAAGCAGGAGAATTGTGGTATTATAAGTTTATACCCCTGTCAAAATAAACAAATAAAGACTAGCAAAGCCTCAATTTCAGGATTCTTTATCTACGCGCTGATGTGATATATAGATTTTTTGATGAGATATTTTTTTTTTTTAAAAATCGCCCCAGGTCACTTTCTTTTAACTTTCGTTCTTTTAACATGAATTGCAGTTGCTCATTTTTGTAAAACAGCACCAACGAAGCCCAAACCACAAGTTCTTCATTTTAAGACCATTTTTTTTCCCCAGAAACCGCCCAGACTTGAATTAGGGAAAACGGTCTGATCAAAGTCTAGGTTCGACTTTGCCTTCTGCCTTTCAAGTTTGTACCCGGTGTACAGCGTTGCTAGAGGTACCCTACTTTTGTGGAGTCCTGTAGCTCAGTGGTTAGAGCACTCGCTTTGCAAGTGAGAGACCTGAGTTCAATTCCAGGCAGAGGGCGAAACCTTGGGCAAGTTTCCTTACTCCACACAGAGCCTAATAATAATCCCTCCAAAACCAAAAACAATAATAAATTGGTCATTTTTTAATCTACGACTGTTTGTGGGACATTGCTGTGCGCAATTGGCTGCCGCGTTCACCCACAAATATACAGTCAATTCACTTTACAGTCTATTCTGTGAAGCGCTTTGGGACGTCCTCCCGACGTGAAAAGCGCTATATCAAATGCAAGGATTATTATTATTATTTAGATGAGAGGTTTACCAATAAAATATACAGTCACTGAAATTCACGATAAGTCCTGCAAAGTGCTTTGAGGTGTCTTCCTGATATCGAAGGTACATATCAACTGAATGGACGATAAGGATTTATTGATTGGAAACTAACTTAAATCTAACCAGGGCTTTTTAGGCTGGCGCGATTGATGTGAATAACTGATCAACCTGCTCATTACTCAAGATTTGGTAGTCCAAGATTTGGTTTAATATCATCTAATCTAACAGCCACCTTACGGAGGTTCCCAATTGGGGTTCAGAAACAAGTGGGTGAGACTCAAAACCTCAGCACTGTGAAACAAATAGTGTTCAATAAATGTACAACTCAAATTGGATTCACATAAGGAATTGACGCTCTGAACCCATATCAAGAAATGATCTGTCTACCCAAACCACCCTTTAGTGGTGGTCATTATTAATAATATCATTGACAAAAAACAGGGAAGGAAAAGCAGGAGATTCAAACTGCCCACAAGGGACTAGATGGAAACTGGGTGGAAACTGCTCAAGCTATCTTCTTAGTCTTATGAGACCATGTTTATCAAACCGGTTGTTAATAAGGTGCAGAGCCTGGGAAGGGGAAAGGATATAAAAGGAATGCTGCAGGTCAGGAAAACGGAGATGAAAAAGAAAACTAAAAAATATGAATTAAATTTATAATGGTTGCATTAATTGTCTTAAGCTTTCAGGCGTTGGATCAATGAGCCATTCTTGCTAACTACATCCCAATGATCGTAATACGAGATGTTAAACCAAGGTCCCGTCTGCCCTCTGAGGTGGACGCTAAAGATCCCACGGCACTATTCGAAAAGAGAACGGGAGGTTTCCCTGGTGTCCTGGCCAACAAATCCTCCAAATAAAATAAACAATCACTCGCTCCATGGCTGTCTGTGCGCAATTAGCTGTCGTGTTTCCCTCTCAAAAATACCTACCACTTTACAGTATATCCTGTGAAGCGCTTTGAGATACCTCGCTGACCTGATGTGTGGTGTCAAATGCAAGGATTATTTCTTATCATCTTCAGTTCCTTCCACCTGTTCCATCCTCTGCAAGGCCTTGCCAAGTCAGAATCTCTATTCTTCCACTCGACCTTTTTGAAGCTTCAGTGACGAAAACCAAAACCCAGTTCAGTTCCCTGATGCGTCTCTCCATTCTCGGTGGACGTCACCCAACCATAACAACAGCTGGCACTTTGGCACCCGTCACCAGTTCTGTGCATCTGTGGTGATCTGGCAGAGGGCTCTGTAGGCAAGGAATCGTCCATTCCCACGTGCCTGCGTAATCGCTGATCTATCAGATGGGCAGGTGTGCCTCGTGGTAATATTGTGCGCTGTTTAAACAAGATAAGGGCTGCAACAAGGCTTCTGGAACACATGTAACTTGAACATGGCACGCATTGAGATGGCACTGATTGTGGCCAATGCAATTACTCCCTTTTTTTTAAATACCAGATAATGTCCGGCAGATGAACAAAGGCTACTTACACAAAAGAATATTGAATCAAATGGGTTTCGGCTTCAGAGCAATATGTGTAGTTTAGTAGATTTGCGGTAATGATTTAAATGCACGAAGGATGTAACCTATGCGATGTATATGTTGGCGACATGCATACTGTGGGAATTGAAGTTTTGTTTTTTTAAAACAAAAATATCTCCTTGCAAAGCAACACGCTTGCGGGGGAAAAAAAATGTTTATCGCCATTCTAAAACAATGGATAGGTACCGTCAGTGTTTCTATTAATATCATTGCTGAGGAAAGGAAATACTTTTGCATTTTGGCTTGGGACAGAAACGCTATTGGTGTCCCCAAAGAGTTATACAATGAAAGCGTATGAGGTTTACATACCCTAATCTGTACGTTTTTTTTGATTGAAAATTAAAAAGTAATTTATCAGAATTTTTTTTTTTTTTTTTAAAAGTGTGCACGAAAGGTCAGGCTGTTACTGGGCAGTACCGGATGCTTGCAAAACACGGTGGATATGTGTGGGTGGAGACCCAAGGGACTGTCATCTACAACAGCCGTAATTCACAGCCACAGTGCATTGTCTGTGTCAACTACGTACTGAGGTAGGTTTGCATTGTAATGGCGGTAATGTACAGCGCCAGGAAATTAATCAAGGGAAATGTCGGGACTAAAATTAACCTATTTTAATACCCTTGAGTCCAGCACACTCTCGTCCTAGAATTTGTGCGTAGAAACAGCAAGGAGTGAAGCATTCCATCAAAAAAAAAATTGCGTTTGATCTCGTGTGGCGTGATCTTTGACCCACACTGCCAGCAAACAAGAAAAAAGGACATGGTTTGAGGATGAGTTGAAGGTCCTTCCTTTCCTCTTTTTTTGTACAAATCACTCAAAAGTACTAAGTAAGTAGAATGGGCAACTGGACAAATTCACTGAAGCACAGAGAACAGGCACAATTCGAAGGCAAACAGGAGCTGGAAGCCAAATCGTCAACCAATTTGTGTAGTTTAAATATACTGTAAATCAGTATTTAAAAGTAACTGCGCAAAAGAAAGGCAAACATCAGACGTTGATAGGTGTTAAAAATGGGAGTGATAATTATGGACGAAAAGCGGCTTTGTGAAGTAAATGCTAATCATTCTGTTAGATGGATTTCAAATGCAAAAAGGCCCATAGATGTCCCAAGATAATATGGTAATACTGTTATGAGGCTTCCATTTATTGACTAGAAATGTCTCTCACACCCATCTATTAAAGAAAATGTTCAGGTCATTTTAATGAGTTAAACAACCTGCTGGTTGAATATTCTTGGAAACTCATCTGGTCATTCCCAACTAAGGACCAACAACCTTTACTTTGCCAAGTCAAATCTGCTTTGCAGTATGTATCATTTAACCCTTCTGTGTCTGAACGTCATATTCAAAAGGGACATAGAGAACACATGTGAATGCTGCCAACCCTGGTAACTGATTAAAAAGCAGAGTTAAACATTTCATTCAAATCTGAACTCGTGGGGTCTAAAACACACAAACTGGAAGTGGGTTTAATTAACACAATGAATTGGATTTATAAATCACATTTTAGACTTTAATGTTTATTGTAAACTAATAGCAGGCAGAGTTGTCTCACTTGCAGTCTAATAAGAGGGTTCATGGTTATTAAATGCTGTGCTTATTTGAACTTATAACTTATTGTAATAATATTCTTGCTCAATTTGAATCTGCTGAACCTTGTGCAAGTTCCAAACCAATTATCCGTGCAAATAAAAATGTTTTTAATGGTTGAGCTGTGACCAAAGGCAGCAGGAGAATCCGCTCACGCCCCAAATTTATCTTTGCACATCTGTGAATAATCATCAGGTGTAACTGCGGAGTCCTGTGGCTCAGTGATTAGAGCACTCGCCTCGCAAGCAAGAGACTTGGTTTCAATTCCCAGTTGGGGCAAGTTTCCTTACTCCGTACGCCTCTGTTCACCCAGCAGTAAGGAGGAACCCGTTCGTTAGTCGATTGGCGGATCGCTTTTCCGGGGGTAATAATTTCGCCTTCAAAAAAAATTAATTGGTCCCTTCGAATCCATAACTGTTTGTGGACTTTATTGGCTGCCGTGTTTTGCCGACAAAATATACAGCTAATTCACTTTACAGTGTATTACCATAATACAAGGATTGTTATTATCAAGGTTTATATAGAACTTAGCTCCTTCTGCAATGAGAGGGCAGCGCAATGAGAAGTTTCCAAGCCATTTGTTCTTGACTCCTGCAGTGATGTAGAAGAGAAAAATGTGATGTTCTCCATGGATCAGACAGAGTCTCTGTTCAAGCCTTGCCTGCCTCTGAGGAACGTGAATGGCAGGTACATCAATGGTGCTTCAGTGCCAGATGACAGCGAGCTCCTGTTCAGCAAGCTGAAGGAAGAACCGGAAGAATTGGCGCAACTTGCACCCACTGCTGGCGATGCCATCATTTCTCTCGACTTTGGCATCAATGGTATGCACTGGCCTCTGCTGTAAATTGTTAGGATTCAAAACTGAGCCATTGCTATTTATTTCAACTTTCTGAGGCACCTTCACTTAAATAAACATTTTTTTGTACCTTTTTTCCTCCTATTGTTTTAACAACAATCTCTTTGCGTGTGTGTATAGGGGGGCGGGTGGGGGGATGCGGGGTGGCATTGTGGTGGTCTTGGTTAAACTCTGTACATTGTCTTGGTATGGCTCTTTATCACTAGTACAAAACCTTCTCACTCCCATTTTCTTTACCCAGAGGAGAGGATAATTAATGACTAGAACTGGTTGCTGAGGCTAAGACACTGGACTCATTCAGAAAGCAGTTCAGTACTGTGATGGGAGGATGCCTGGGGTGGGTATTCTGTAGGGATGAGATCAGATGGGGCAAAGAGCCATCATCCAAACTAATCTTGCGATCTTGGAGTTATGCCAAGTTCCTGCCAATCTCACAAAGAGGCGCAGTAGTGTTGCCCTTTAGGGTAGTTGGGGGAAGAAATCAATAGAAGTACAAAGAGTAGGAAGAGTGTACAAACATCCTGGGTTTCATGGTCAAGTGCGATATCTCCCGATTGACCTCTTTTTGAGAAAGCCTTTAATTGTAAGAGGTGTAACCGCAAATGAAAATAAAAACAAATCCGCAGGAGGTTGGCAGTGATACTCAACAGGAACGGTTCAAAGAGTGAAGGATCCTTTCCCCAGGAGCAGGAAGTATTCTATGATTCAATTCATACACGTATCCAAGTAGATTAATGGGCAAAGGAACTGTTTGGGAAGCACAATCCAAAACAATACCCAATTAAATTTTTATAGCAGCTTCCATGTCGGGAGGACGTCCCAAAGGGCGGAAGTCCAAGCACACGTCCACGCAAAACAGAAAGAAGCAGGTTCAAGCAAGTTTGATTCGAGTTAGCCGATATGTCGGGAATTGAGATGCTTCAACAACCCAAGGTTAGGCAGGCAATTTATCACCTGGCGTTCCCGTTCCTCAGGTCTCTTGCTGGAAAGTACGTCTGAATCAACATAGGGTAGGCATAAGATCAGTTGTATTGATCGCTGGTGATTGAATAGTCCACCAAAACTCACTGTAAAGGCCCACGCATAAATAACCATTTGGGGAGAATACTGGAGGGTAACTGGTGACTTTGGAACAGTAACTCAATAGAAGGAAAAGAGGAATATAGGGACTCCAGGATCAGAAGTTTTTTTTCAAATCATTCCATTTACTGTATTCCTCACAAAGTGAAGTTCCTTGCAATATAAGCTGCCGAATTCGAATCCTGACACAACCTGCATTCCATACATTCAACATTTTCACTGTGTGGTGTATTAAATTTACTCCTTCTGAACTTGCGTCCATTCTCCCTTGTTGCAGAGCCAAATGCCTTCAGGAAGTGGATAGTCAAAGTACCAGAGAACAATTGGGGATTAGAAATATTGATAGGCTATGCATTATAGTGCTAAGTGGGAAACACAAATGTGATAAATAGAATTGCTCACGTACAGTCAAGCTTTCTCGTGTTTTTCTGACTAACCGTACATAACAGGGTCGATGCGACAAAATGAAAACAGCGGGAATGCTGATGAATATTACTGTTCTTTGTTGTATTTGCCAGGAAACCAGCAGCTTGAGAAAACCTCGCTTTACAACAAGGGAGCTATGCCTCCACCAAACAAGCAGTGGCCGGTGGAAATCACAAAACCCAAGGGGCAGAAAGTAAATGGTCCAGCTGAGCTCACCAAGCAGCCACCACTGGATCTGCACTCCTTTGTGGTGCCTCGAGTCACATCTGGCAACGCCACCCCCAGCACGTGCAGTAACAGCAATTGCTCTTCAGTAAGTGACCAGTGTGAACAGAAAGCTACCTATTTGGGATCTGGAGGGCAAAGCTCACCTGTGGTATTGCACACAATGCAAGCTGTACGCAGTTGCAAAAGAAATTACAACAACCACCACCACCACCATTTACATAGCACCACCTTTCACGCAGGGTAACGTTCCAGAGGGCTTAAATTCCTGACATAATATGCATTTTAATAAAAGTCTTTCATGTGGGATGAACTTTGAGCGCTTCTCAAAAACAAAAGGAAGCACTGAGCAGGAACGAGAAATTAAAGGGTTTTGACCAAAGGTGTTTTTTTTTTAAAAAAAGAAAAAGGTTTCGAATGCAGGAATAGAAGGAGTTATGTGAAGGGATCTGGGGAGTGAGATCCAGAGAATGGGGGCATAGTTGCTGAAGGCTCAGCTAATTGAAGATACATTTGTTTTCATACAACACAAGTTGCCCGACCAGAAATGTGATGCATTTCTCCAACGATGGCTTTCTGATAAACACTGCAAATGTTTCGCAGACACTTTTGCGGGCGTTGAGTAAAAGGTCACCCGGTCACCCTTCGGAAAGCAAAGCCAAAACCAAATTCCTTCCGGACTCCAAAAACAATTGTATAAACTCATGCGCTTAAAAGAAACCTTGCTTTTGATGTGGTACCTTGTCATGTCACCGTCAAAGGCTTTCGCACAGCGAGTTGACGTGAAGATATCTAATCTGTGTCAGCACCAGCAAGAAACTGAATGACCCAATTTTTTTTAAAAAATGAAAACAAGAAAAATCCATCTTCCACTCTCCATCAATAGCATAATTAGGATAACTTCGCCTCCTCTCTATAGTGAATTTGTACTCGAGGATCAAATAGTTTTTTCACCTAGGATCATAAATCAAAGTCTAGTATTATGCATATCTGAGACCAAAATCACACATAATCACCGATTCTCTAGCGTTGGTGCAATTAATTTAGCCTCGATCTGGATTCTCATTGTGTTCTCTGCAACAGTTGAAGCCGATAGTTAGAATAGTTGCATTTGATATGGCAACTTACGTCAAAACATATCTTAAAACTCCGCAGAATTTTTCCGTAATGTGTAACAATTAGCTGTTTATAGGCAAACAAAAACAGCCAATTCTGTGCACAGCTACAACCCATAAACATCCAGGGGGTGAACAGCAATTTAACTGGAGGATTATTGACGAGGAAAAACTCTAGCGATTAGTGTCACGAGTTCTTTACTGTTCATCTGAACAGGTGGATGGGACCTCTTAGAGTTAAACCTTTGCAATCTGTGCAACTTCTCGTGTGGTTGTTGAAACTGGGTTCTCAATCACAACAGTACTTTTGTCTACTGCCTGGGATTCGACCTGACATTGGTCAGTTTCGGGAGACAAACATAAGCAATAGTCAGTACTGATCAGTGAAATGCTATAGCAAAAGGATGAATCTGATTGTTCCTCAGCAGAATCCCTTGTAAAAATGCTTCCTTTACTTTCCCATTGTAGCCGAGTAGTCCTGGTGACTATTACAGTTCCATGGACAATGATCTCAAGATTGAGCTGACTGAAAAGCTTTTCTCAATGGACACTCAAGCAAAGAACCAATGCAGCCAACAGGTCAGTTCAATAACGTTTCGAAGCAAACGTTAAAGCCAACGCCATTCAGTTGGGAGAGATTCCTTGTCCTTGTAGATTCCTTAAAAGATAGCAATAGGGCATAATTCTCGATTTAACGTACAATAAACTCAGTGCCGTTTTACGTTTTGAGATGGCTTTCACTCGGTGGAGGTAGGGTTTCATCGTTCATCTCAAACCTAGTGTATGGATTTCTTTAGAAACACAAGAAAGCTTGGGCTACGCATTATGAGAACATAAGTTGTCACAAAACGTTTGCAGGAAAAATGACACTTCATCTTGATTGAGAAATCTTTGGTATACATCGAATACGGTTGTTTTTTGCTCCCTTTTTTTCCCCCCGGGTCACACATGCTGTTTCTTTAGGTTAAATTCATTTTGATTGGATGTGTTGTTAGGTAGACCAACCTGTACAACGCAGAAGGGGTGAATCTATTGCTCACGTGTAATAGGACGGACCTAATCTTTCCTGTGCGGCTCTTAATTTGTTGTCCTAGGTGGAGTTGAGTGACCTGGATCTTGAAACTCTGGCTCCCTACATTCCGATGGACGGGGAAGATTTCCAGCTGAGCCCCATCTGCTGCGAGGAGCCACCCACCTCCGAGAATACATCTGAAACTCAGAAGTGCTGCACCAACATCAACAGCCTGTTCCAGCCACTCGCTCCCAATTCTGTGCTGCCTTCGAGCCTGATTTCCGCACAGCCCAGCAAGTACTGCACCACATTGAAGAAGAGCAACTTCACCCACATCCCTCCGCTGCCCCAATACCATGGGTCGGTCAACACTCCGGTGTCCTCAATGGGCGGAAGACCAAGCATCCAGTGGCCACCTGACCCGCACTTTAACTGTATACCTAAGTGGAGAATGATGGAGCAGAACGGAGGAACGTTTTTTGGAACCCCATCGGGACATCCAGCTCACTTGCAGTCATTGTACAAACAAAGGTAATGAGAAAACAATTTAAAGGCATCGTAGTATAATGCTTGTTCGGGGCAAGACCCCACAGTTTATATCACAGGGGTTCCGGGGATGGGGTGGTGGTGGTTGGGGGGGGGAGCTTAGGAAAAATAGACTTTTCTCGCCCGAGAAAACAGAAGATACGATTTTAAAAACAGACAAACTGGTATTCACCAACCGGGCCAAACACTGAACAAGTCACAGCCCTTCAAAGTAATGTGTTGCATGAAACGGATCAACTTTTTGACATGTTAAGACTGCACTGTAGCTGATGCAGATATCATCGATATTAACTGCAAGAGGTAAATCCAGTTACTTAAAGCTGACTGCCTCGAGACTGGCGCAACCTCATTTAAAGGAAGATATCAGCACAAATTCGGTCTTATCTAATGACTCAGCAGAAAGAGTCTGGTTTGAATGCAGTAAACCAACTAGAAATAACACATACATACTATTCGAAAAATCTTGTCTTGCAAATACAATAAGACAACTATTCTCCCACCACACACACCCCCCCCACCCCCACCCCACCCCCCCACTAGCAACCCTCCAACTCTCTCTATTGTACATTCTTGAATTTAAAAGAAATGTACGGGTTTATGAGTTTTAGCATAAAGTAGATTAACAGTGCAGTTGAAGTAACGTCGCAAACTTTGAGCCTTGCTTAATTTCAAGTGCTATTGTAGCTTGGAATCAAAGCATGGGGTAATTTATTAATGTTGAGTAAATGCAAAATGCAATCAAACCATCAAATGCAGGTGTAAAGCAATTAGTGTAGATTCATGGATTCATAGAATAGATTTTAACAAAATTAAATAGTTGCTGTAAATGAACACAGAGAATTAATTGTAAATTATTTAATTCTGCAGTTAGCTGAAATTGTTCCATTTGTGTAAGTGCATTGCAGGTCTCATGAAGAAGCCCTTAATTATTTTTGCTGAGAATTATATGAACACATGAGCGCTAATTTGGGTAATGGCACAGAAAGTCCTCGCTGAGCTCGAAATTGCATCCAGATACAAGTCAATATGGTTTTAAAATATAAGACTGTGCAGAATCGTGAAGAAGGCTTAGTCTTTACAAGGAAGCCAGTTATATTATTGTATTATTTTGTGTTATGTTCATTATTTAAGGGCAAAATAGTCTTATAGGCTAAGACCATGTGGAATTTGGGGCCTGTGGTCTGCATTTGCCTCGGTTGGGAAGTGTCAGGAGATTCCCTACATGAATGCGGAAAGTGGAAGGAAAGATTAATTAATTCTCTTCACACTTCTATTAAAGGCCCACCTTCCACTGGCAGTGGTAGAGATGGAGTCCTGTAGCTTAGCGGTTAGAGAACTCGCCTCGCAAGCGAGAAGACCTGGGTTCGATTCCTGGTAGGGGGCGAAACATTGGGCAAGTTGCCTTACTCCACACTTGTTTACCTTGCAGTAAGTAGGAACACGGTTGTTAGTTGATTGGCGGATTCCTTTATCGGGGGTAATAATCCCTTCAAAAAATAATAATAATAATAATTTGGTCACTCAAGCCATGACTGTTTGTGGAACCTGCTGTGCGCAATTGGTTGCCACGTTTCCCCTCAAAATATACAGTCAATTCGCTTTACAGCATATTCCGTGAATTGCTTTGAGATGGCTCGAAGATGTGATAAGGCGCTATATCAAATGCAAGGATTATTATTAGTAGTAGTAGTAAGTAGTCGTATTAGAGAGGCCTTGAAGCTGGTTGTACGCTGGGCTGTTGAAGTAGAGAGATTGACAAGAGGAAAGGGAGAGAGAGATGAAAAACAAAACACTTTCTAAAAACAAAACAAAAATTCACAGGATGCCTCTGCAATGTGTCAAGTCCCTGGAGAACTTTGGACAACATGGGAAAGACATCAGCCCTGCGCTGACTGCCTTCACAAACAACTTGAAACGTAAACGACAGCTGGAATTTGGAGAGCAGACATTATCCCTCTCAGCGGTGAGTCTATTTTCAAACTGCTTTGCTGAAAATATTATCGGACTGCAAATGATTAACCGTCAGCACTCGTGAGACGATGTACCCCGTGTGAAGGGGCTGTGCAAGCGAGTTGTTGTGGTGGTTGATTAAAAACCGTTCGGAACGATGAGTCTAAAGATAAAACAAGTGTTTTGCAAACTCTTCTGTGGTGAAACGCCCACTGGTCAGACATAAGAATGCACGGAATGAGAAAAAGGCCATTCAGCCCATGAAAGCTGTTCATTTCACAAACGAGCACAAACCTATTGCGTCGTGACCTGCGATCCATTAATCTTATACCCCGGGGAACGAGGGCAGACTGGCTATAGGGGAAATTGGGAAATTGGGGGGAAAGGGAGGGGAGGGGAAGGGGGGTTGGCTGATGGCATGGTCGAAGAGGAGGGTCTTGAGGCAGGACTTGAAGGAGGCTAAGGAGGGGGCGAGACGGAGTGACTGGGGGATGGAATTCCAGAGGTTGGGGGCAGAAGGTTCTCCTGCCAATGGTGGGGCGGGTGGGGCGGGGGCGTGGGGCAGGCCTGAACACCGCAGAACCCAATAATCGAAGTGACTGACAGCTCGGTCCAGACCACCGTGGCCCAGAGCCCACCTTCACTGAGGAGCGACAGCTAATCATTGCTCGGATCCCGCTCTCAGCACCCCCGTTTTACCTGAAATTCCTGAGCCCTTTCCATCCACCGCTGCTGAGGGCACTTTCATCAAGGTGCTCGCTGACCCCCCCCCCCCCCCCCAAAGCAATCAAATTGGAAAAACTCTGAAAATAAATCTTTCCATCTCCACGACTTAACTTTTAAACCGGAGTTCATTCCTTCGACAGAATTCCCCTACCACCTCCGCACCCTCCCCCCAACAACCCTCTGACGTTAGCAGCACAGAACTTGTTAGCCACAAATTCTACCTGGTCTTTGGCTAGAAAAGCATTTTGTCTTGAAGTTTAACATGGCATAGAATGGTGGAAAATTGTTCGATTCAGTCTTGTTTGGAAAGTTCTTGTTTAGAAATCGTGCTGTTCTTATTGAACGCTGCGATAAGATTCTTACCAACTCTTTCTAAGAGCTGCGACTAACCCGCCTCCGAATTTAAGAAACTTCTCCAATTTTGTGCTCCTTTTATTTTTAAAACAAAATGCTCTAACAGTCTACGGCTCGGATGAAATTTCACACCTAAGATGTTCTTGTGGGTTATTTGCTCGTCTTAGTTAGTTTGCACATCAAGTAGCGAGCCCGACGTGTGCACTAACTGTGAAATAGAAAATAGAATAATGGTCCTTCACGCAATGTGACAATTGTCAACAGTAATAACTAAAAACGTTCAGGTAAATCAGCAAACACAAATTCATTCCACACACATGTCTTGTTCACACCCAAGCTGAAGAACATCTTACTCATAGAGCGATAGCCATGGAAACAGGCCAGTTGGCCCAAGTAGTCTGTGATGGGACTTACTGCAAGATGACTCACTGGAACACGGCAACTCAGCGTTGCACTTACGGCTATTTGAGCTCAGATTCCTGTTTTGTTTTGCGCTCTTAAAATTTATATTTATCAAGACAACCTCCAAGGAAATCCGAGACAATCGCTTGTCACATTGCAGTCACACTTGAGAAAAAGAATGATATCTAAGACATTCTCACAGCTGTAGCTTGGAGGGTTTTCCCGGTGTCAAAACGCTAATGATGAGTTGTTTTTTTTATTTCGCGAGGGTTTGTTTCTGAAAGACTATTTCTCTTTAAGGAGTGCCCATTTGAGTATCCGCAGAGAAGTAACACTCCTGCACAGTTCTTGTGGAAGAGGATGAAAGCCATCAAATGTGAAACAAGCTCCACACTAATGGAGAAGAAATCCTTGAGCACAGGTTCTCTTACAGGTAAGGGAATAGATAAACATCGCCATTCGTTTTTTATCCCCTCTCACCCCCGTCCTCCCATGTCACTTCACACCGATAGCAATAACAGGTTCCACATAGAGCTTAGGACCATTAAAATGCAATTTCATCGAACAACGCAGAATCAAATCATTTTGACGCCGATGTGCGCAATTGGCTGCTGCATTTCGCCCACAAATATACAGTCAATTCACTTTACAGTCTATTCTGTGAAGCGCTTTGAGATGTCTATAAGATGTGAAGAACATTATATCAAATGCAAGGATTATTATTATTATTATTTTACGACCAAAAGTGAAAGGTTAGAGTGTTTCCAAAGTTGCTGCTGAACTTCTAAACCAAACAGAAAGAAAACTACTTTGTAAAATAACTTCCTCTAAATGTGCTATGATCACTATGATCCACACTTAATGCAGAGGACACGAGTGTAATCCGAGTCAAGTGGTTGAATTTTGAGATGACAACTCGTTCGGGGAACTGTGGAACCAGACAGGGCAGCAACATATCCCCCAGTGGTGACTTTGCCGACACCGTTGTGAAAATTGTGACTTGTAAAGTATTGATTAAAAAAAAAACGGCAGTTAAATTAACATGCGAGTCAATAACTAAATACATGGACATGTCCTCAAGTGTGGACCACTCCACCACTCCCTCCCCCCAATCCTGTCGCAACTCAGTCACACATCAGTCTCAACACATGAGGCCTGCAATGTATTGGGATACCGGCAAGATATCGAGTTAATCCAATGCCTCAGTAACCAGTGCTCTGCAGATCGGAAGGGTGTGGCCAGTTTCAAGTGAAACCATTGCAACATCGTCTAAAGAGGTGGGATAGAAAGGGGAAGATAGAAGAGCGGTCGGAGCTATAAACGATTGTAGTTCTCATAATTCTGAACGACGTCCAAGTGCGTTCGTTAAGGCAGCTCAATCCACCATTTCACAACTTCCACTGGGTCTTATGCGAGTCTACACACGCGACTATCTGAGTAACTGCGGTCAAACGGACAAGGTTAACATCTCCCAAGTTTCTCTTTTGAATCTGTATAATTTGGTCACTTCGATCCACGACTCTTTGTGGGGACACCGCTGTGCGCAATCGTCTGCCGCGTTTCGCCCACAAAATATACAGTCAATTCATTTTACGGACTATATAAATATTAAAAAAAACGCAAAATACTGCAGATGCTGGAAATCTGAAACAAAAACAGAAGTGGCCGGGAACACTCAGCAGGTCAGGCAGCATCCATGGTTAGAGAGGTAGGAGGGGGCAAGGCCATAGATGCCTCGATTTGCTCAAAGCCATCCACTCCATCCCACGGTCCCTTCGCCTCGCTTCCTCCCTCGCCTCCTTCAAGGCCGGTCTCAAGACCCTTCTCTTCGACCGTGCCATCGGTCTCCCTCCCACCTCTCTGCCTTGCCTCGCCCCTACAACCCACTCCCCCCACTCCCCCATGCTCGGGCCCCAACACCTGACTGTCCAGCGCTTTGGGTCGTCGCTCCCGACGTGAAAGGCGCCCTATAAATGTCATTCTGTTGTCGCTCGCTGTATTCAGTGGTGTTAAAAAAAAAACAATCGCCTCTGCAGGGATGGCAAGTCGACTCCTGGGCTCATCCTTCGTGTCCTACTCGTTGCCGGAGCTCACGAGATATGACTGTGAAGTCAACGCCCCGGTGGTGGGAAACTCAACACTTTTGCAAGGTCGTGAACTGCTCAGAGCTCTGGATCAAGCCACCTAGACCCGCTCTGCCCCCCCAAAAAAAAACTGCTGGCCTGGATTGTCACAACCGTTTCAGTTTCTAAATATATTTTTCAGAAAAAGTAGTCTTTTGTTGACATTGTGTTGACGCTGTTTAAAAGATTCTTACTCGCTCACCTTGTCCACGTCTTTGCAAACTGGCTCCCACCCCCCCCCTCCCACCCCTCTCTCTCGTTTTCTCTCTCTCTTTCTCTCTCCTCTTTGCACCCACCCCCCCCCCCCCACTCCCTACCTCTCCCCTCGCATTATTAACCTGTGTTCTATTATTCCTGCTGTCAAAACAGCTTTGTGTCTGTTTAAACTAATCTCTCTATTTTTCAATAAAGTTCCTTTATTTTTCAGAAAAGTTCTCTTTTCTTACTGGTAGCTTCACATTTTTCCTTCCTTCCTCGTTAACCCCCCCCCCCCCCCCCCACCCCCTGCTCACTCCCTCTTTGAAATTAAAAAGCAGATATCTTTCTCGAGTTTAAACAAATGCACTTAATTTCTTTTTTTTAAAGAAACGAGAGTTAAAATGTTTCCCGCCGTTTTGTTTTCCTACAGATGGTCAGTCAGTTAAAATACTAACTGCTAAAAGTTATTTTAGACAGATTTATTATTGTACGTGGACATTTTAAGTTGCACACTGTAGCTTCAATAAGCTTAGTCTTTTTGATGACTCATTTACTAAATATTAAGCTTTTAAAGATTTAATGGGGGGGGGGGGGGTGGGGGGGAGGAGGTAAGGGAGGAGTGTTGTTCTAGTCCTGGTACTTTGTAATATCCGAGGAGCAGAAGCAGAAAGGATGGCTATTAGTAGTCATATTTGCAAGGTTAAGAGTGTTTCATTATTGTGTTGGTTTTGCATTTGATTGGTATTCTGATCACTGGTAAACAAGAATAACTTGAAAGCAGGAAAAGCGGCCGATAGGCGAGTACTAACAATGCTTTATTACAAGCCTGGATTTTTTTGCTTATGTGATGCACATTAAGTGTCTATAATATAGTGAAATAAACATTTTTTAAAAAAAATATATAAAATATATATTTAGCTGTTGTATTGTTCTTTGGTCAGGTATATAATCAAGTTCTGCTATTCCGGTCAGTAACTTGTCTGGGTCCTTGCTAAATTAAGGTCAAACCTTTATGTTCTTGATGTATGTTTTTTGTAAGAATTCCGAATCATGTTATAGTCACTAGTACTTTAAAAAAAAATCCAATAAAACTGCAAAAGGAGAGTTTGAGTTCCTCACTTCCACTGAAAAACGTTCCAGTCTTGCAATTTTTCCCCAATGCCGGTTCTACTCCAGGCTGTGCAAGTGAGGGTTTTATCCAGATACTTCCCTCCTGTACACTCAACGAGGACAACAACAACAAAATTACATTTGCATAGCGCCTTTTACATCAGGAGGACACCCCAAGGCGTTCTGTTACTACCCTCGTAACTGACAGTGAAGGTTTGACCTAAATACAGATATTCAATGTCGATAAAGCTTGCCTTTAAGTTGGTGGTAAGTCTTCAAGCGCCAGATGTTTCGCTCTTTTTTTTTCCACCATACCTTGTTTTGAACAAGAACCCGACAGGTTTCATGATTTTTTTTCACAGAGAAAATGCTCATGAAGCAACAAAAAAAATGTGAAAGCACTTAAAGGCAAACTTTTGGCTTCTATTGGTTTTAATGGTGCTGTTTTCAGCATTAAAAAGGCAATGCAAGAAATCTGCTAAAATATTATGCCAGTGTTTCAGTTCTAATATTAACAGCCATAGCTTTTATTATGAATATTTAATAGCTGTGCAGCTTACCTCCTAATTATCTTATTCTGTATGGGAAATCTTAAACTAATGAGGTAATGCTTTTTTGACACCTTATTAAAGCATACAAACTTTCATGTCAAAAATCTACTTGTTGCTTTTACTATGTATGTTGGTCATTCATTTTAATGCTGCTGTGTATAACAAAATAGAGAAGTCTGTATTAAAGAACGACACTGGACTTATTTAAGAAACCACTTGAACCTGGAAGGAGAAGATGGTAAGAGCTGGTAGACTGGAGGGATAGAATAGGAGGGTTAATCATGTGAAATGCTTTGAGATGACCTCCCAGCACGAAAGCCGCTATTTCAAACGCAAGATAACTACAATAAACATTGTATTGTTTAAGAGCCTCACAGTACAGCTGCGAAATAGAACAAAATAGAACTATTTTCCCAGACAATGACAGGAGCTACGGATAAATGTATTTGAAATTTGCGCGCTCCACTTTAGTGATTTACAATTTCACTCACTGAACTACACTTGAACCCCGGAATAAAACCCATACCAGAAGGTTCAAGCAGGTGCCAGATGTACCAGGCTGATGTTAAACTGAGTCCCACTTGCCCATTCAAGTGGACATTAAAGATCCCATGGTACCATTCGAAGAGAATGTCGCAACCGCAGCAACTAATTTGGTACAGAGCCGTCCTACAAACAGCCATGAAGTGAATGACCTATTTTATTTGAGGATTGTTGACCAGGAGACTGGAAGAAACTCTTTTTTGGATAGCTTCCATGGTATCTCTGTGGTCCATATGAACAAGAGTATAGGAACTCAGCTTAATGTCTCACCTGAAGGACAGCATCCTCGAACAGTGCATTGCTGTACTGTCAAGCATTTACTGTCTGCCTAGAGTATGAATTCTAGTCCCCAAATGGATCTTAAACCCACAACCATATGATCGAGAGGGTGGGACTGAGCCAGGTTTTAAAATAAGATAAATGTATTTATTCTTCAATCACTAAACTATATAAACATCAAGCAATTGTTGATTTTTCTTTGAAATATCAAACCAGTAAAGGGGGAGGAGGGAAGAAGAGGGAAATCTACACCTGTAATATATAATAAACGTCTGATAACTCAATCCTGCCCTTAACCTGCCACAACCACATAAGTCATCATGCTGTCAATAACCGGGCCACATTTATTGATGTATGTATACATTTGCTTAACTCGCCACCTGATAACTTGTCGCTCTGAGTGCCCCCCTTTCCGTTGGAGTGATGAGTTATCAGGAATTCATTATAAATATTTAGATGCAATCAGACATAACCTCTTAAGAAAAAGAGATTGTTTGCTTCAAACCATTGCTGTCAGATATATGAATAGTGTTCCTTGAGGTGACAGGAAGGAGGACGAATTAACCAAGGAATCAAGATACATCTGAAATTAAAAATCATCGATTTCTCTTTTCCTTTCCTTTGCCACACCCCCCCCCAAAAAAATACAATATTTCAAACTATTAATGAAAATAAGGATTTGTGGAAGATTAAAGAGCAGCACCTGTACATGACAACATTTAGCTACTAGAGAGCTAAATGGCTTCAAATATTCAGGGCATATCTGTTCTCACCACCGCCCCTGTTCCCCCCCCCACCCCAAAAAAAAATCAGATGCCACATAATGAATCAGCGTAAAAAAAAATTGTTGCTGGTGCCACTTCCAGATTGTCAGGTATGAGACATTCGCTCATTTTAATCTCTGAACAGTGTGTATCCGATTTCACATTTATGAGCATTGTTTTTTGGGGTTTTGTCTCAGCCTATTCCATGCAACCGTCACCCAAATACAAGTTCTGCTCTCCTTGTCTCCTGGGCTCCAAACGTTTACAGCGGTGATCCGACCCCGGTACCAACTATCACTCCTCGTAACCTGCTCTAGTTGTTAATTACCCTCTGTTTAAACTCCTGAAATTGCCCATCACAACACCGAATCTCTTGTTCTGCAGCCCTGGAGAAAGAAGGTTAATGCTTATCCAAGTTGACACAAAAATACCAGATCTTAGCCGTTTTAATAGCTGAATGCGCAAATGCATCAAATTGTGCAAAAACACAGGAACCTGCAGGACTTGGAAAAGCCCACTTGACCCTAGCCCCAAGTTAAAATATAATTTCCCAAACAAAAAAACTTCTCTCTTATATCCCGCAATCAATCTATTTGCCAAATTTGCCCCTCTGAACTTCCTTGAGCCAACTTGCCTTCACAATTGGCCAAGCGTAGCCCACTCCACACATAGAGCAGCCTCGCTGACCCAGAATTGGCCTTTCGCTTTTTTTGTGTGGGGTGGGGGTGTGGGGGGGTGTCCACACGTGTTAGCCAGTTGTGCTTATGGACAGTTACCTCGCTATAGCATGGGATGAGATCTTCTGGATCCCAAACACCATTGTATAACGAGGTGCACTGAATTCACCTTTACTCTATTCCACCATATTAAATTGCGATTGAAATTGGACATGCTTGAGATAACATTGTTTGAACCCGCTTACCTGAAACAGGGAGTATTTTGTTGCAATGCCAGAAGTGTATTTGTCCTAGTGACGCAAGCAATGCACTTACAGGAAGCATCACCAGGCACCTGTCCTTCTGTTTGCATTGGTGATTGTACTGTAGACTAACACTGCTCGCTCTATTTCGACTTCGGGTTTTCTTTCTGTGAAGAAAAATTAAGGTTCCAGGTTATGCCGAAGCGAAAGACTAGGATATATATAAATTAGCACACTACCAAACTACTAATACTGTACCATTTCACAGGGAAGTTTTCTATCAAAAAATAACTAGGGGGAAAGGAAAAAATAAAACTATCGCCATTCATTAAAATCCGATCCATCTGGAACTGCAGCAAGTACATCTGCTAATCTGCTGTACCATTAAGTGAAGAGTTAGAGTAGTAAATAACCCAGCAGGGCATCTGGAATTGGCAAATCAAAGGCAGTGTTAACTTAAAAACATTAATTAAATAAATGGGGGTTTGTGTGTGGAAAAAAGAAACACATTAGACTGACAACCCAGTAGCCCAGCAGCAATGATGATAGATTAACCAGATAAACTGAGGAACCAGATAAACTGAGGCACCAGTTTGCCGTCATTTGGATGCGAATATCTTTCTCTCCATAGCTCCTCCTTTTGTCTTAAGGCCAACAAATATACAAGATCTTAGTTATTTTAATAGCTAAGAGCACAACAGAGGGGGCAGAGAGATTCAAGGCAATACGTGGATGTCTTGCGATGATGTACAGTCCCAAAGTCTTCCAAAATAGTCCCATTTAAAATAAAAATAACCATCCCTGGAACGTGTGCGCATGTGGGCCTCATGCGAGAAAATAAACTTCGATTCAATTACCCACTGTGATACCTGGAATGATTCTGAAACTCTTGTTTCTTAACAGCGAATGTGCTGATAATTTCCTGCCTTGATGCCTGCGCTCCAAATATTTTGTAGTGTTACCACTTGAATTTTGTTGGTGTAGATTTGTGGCCTACACTTTTTTTCCTAACTTACAGTGAAGGTGGCAGGTTACCTTACATATGTGATCACCTTTCTTTGAAGATGTCTCATGCCACAACAGAGTACTATAGTGGGAACAGCCCTCCAATTTCTACACAAGTGGCTGTTCTTCACACTTGCCCCATTCGCCCTTCATACCTGGGCCACTAACCTCTGGAATGCCCTCTCTCTACTCTTTTGTCTTACCTCTCTCTTTCTGTCCTACTTTAAAACTTTTCAAACAAGCCAATGCCAGCTCCCCCTTCACCATTCTCCATTGCTTGGTGTCCAACCCCATCCTTGTAAAGTGCTCCAAGGCATTACCCGACATAAACAGTGCTATATAAACCCTTGCTGTTGTTGGTGGCGGTGGATGTTGGCAGACTTTTTAAGCTGTAGACAGGTTGCACAATAAAGTCTGAAGTTGTCCTGATCCTTAGAGGGGTATTTTCTTGCTTGGGGTTGGGGGTGGGGAGTGGGGGAGAGAAGGGTGCTATCAGTGGTGGGTTCTTTTTGAGCAAGAGACTTATTATTTCATGGTCTGACGTCAGGACATAATTGGTCTTAAACTTAATTACCTTTGAGTTTAAGCGCTATAGCATTATAGCAACAGTAGCTTGGTCTATATTTTTGATAGAATTAATACAGTGTCAGGCATGCAGCATACACCAACATTCATCTGAAGTTGCTTTCATGAGGATTTGCAATGACTCTGTCTATACATCTAACAAGATCACAAGAAAGATTCAAATCTCAGCTCTTGACAGGAATTACTACACATTTCATACAGCGCTGCGCATTCCCAAAAGGAATTTGTGTTCAAGCAAGAAAACGAATAGAATTTTGGAAAACAGTTTTGAAATTCAACCTTCATTCAGCAGCCAATTTTCCACCATTCCTAAAACGGGTGGGGAAAATCAACTTCCAAAAATAAGAACATAAGGAATTACAGGTCTCTGGTTAACGGGAACAAGATATATCTCTTTTTTGCCATTACATGTCGGGGTGCCAAATCTACTCAAGGTTGTGCAAGGATCCTAAACAAGAAGCAGTGAGAGCTAAAAAACAAAAAAACGGCAAATTTATAAATTTCACTGTACAAAAAACCAAGACGCAGATGAGCATTGACCTGTTTGGGGCCCATATGCACAATTGTTGGCAAGTTACACAAAGTCTGGTCTTAAACCTACCACAAGACGTAAGCGTCTTATTTGCTCTGCACTACTCATTATTCTATATATACGCGCCCACACCTAAATGAACGTTTCTGAATGCCATGCACCAGCTTCGGGTTTAAATAAACATCACTTTGTTGAGATGAGTGCTGCTCATCTTTCAGTCAACCCTATTTCAGGGAGCTGACGTTGACATTTTTGACTTTTGAAGTGTTTTGGTTAAAAAAAAATGCAAGTACCCACAGTGTGCATCATTGTTCCCCATATTATTTTAAAAAATAGACAACCTTAAAACCTCATGTGTCAGCCTGGCTCAGTTGGTTGCACATGTCTCCGGGTCAATGGCTTTGAGGACATTGTCTATGCTGGTACTTCAGTAGAGTGCTGCCTTGTCCAGAGGTGCTGTCCTCTCAATGAGATGTTAAACCAAGGTCCCGCCCGCCTCTTTAGATGGATATTAAAGATCGCACGAGAACTATTTAAAAAGAGAAGGGAGCTTCTCCTGTTTTGGCCACAAAATACACAGTCAATCCAGTTGTGAAGCACTTTGAGAAGTCTCGACAGCACGATAAGGCGATACACCAAATGCAAGGATTGTTATAAAATGGGTCAGGAACTTCATGGCTTTGTGAGAACATTGCTGTTCACAAATCAGCTGCTGTGGTCACTCACTTCCAAATAGATAATAAATTGCACTTTACAAAAAAACTTCCACCGGATGTTATAGGCACTATATATCAACTACAAAGATCATTATTTGTTTATTAATACACATCCATTTAAAAACCATCAGTTCAATGGCAGTTCATGTCGTTTACAGAGCTTGTTAACATTTTTCGAGAGCCTTTCGTTTGAAGGAATCTGGATTATATTCCCAAACCAGCGGAGTTCAGATTTCCCATGATCTGCTCGAGCTGCGCAGCTCTCTAATCAGACCACAACTGGAGCACTGTGTTCTGGTCACCGTGACCCTAAAGGGAGTCAGTTCAAGCCCGAGAGGCAGTGCAAGAGAAGCAAACTCAGCCGATCCTCAGTGTTAGAGGAACGAACCCATGAGGAACGACCGGGCGTAAGCTGAGGCTCTTCAGCCTTGGAAGTAGACAAATATCTCACAGTGGGTCCCGTAGAGGCGTAGAAGAATATAAATCCGTTAAATTACGTCAAATTGTTGGGACGAAAGGCAACAGAGGCAGGGTTGTTGAGGTGAGAACAGGTGGAAACCAAAAGCACAATTGAAAGATTGGTTGTCTGGCAGCTATAAAGGTGGGGAGGGACGAGAGGGATGGAGTTCCAGAGAGCGAGGGCAGAACGGCTTAAAGCTTTGTCACCAATGGTGGAGCGGATCTGGCAGGCTGGTCTTAGCCCAGGTAGCTTTAGGAGTGAATTTGTCAAAGCTGTTTGTTGGAATCCAAATCCAATCCAACCAGGGACATCACTCAGTACACACCAACAGCCACAGAAGACCTAAAGTGCAGAGATCCAGGATCCGAAAAGCTCAGAGGTTGTTTGGAGGGCAACAGCTCCCTATCAAAGGCCAGCTGCCAATAATAACTACATATTTTTAAAGTATGAATGGATTCACGTACGCTTTTGAGCAGGTTCCCGCTCCCACCCAGCCCATTTGAATGGTACAATAGCTTTCCCAGAAAAAATACATTGTTACCGTGGAACCTTTGTGATTGGGCTAAAGCGAGGCTTTTTGAGAGAGCCGGGAACCGCAGACATGTCTCCAGCTCAGCCCATTCTGATTCGACTAAGCTTGGTTCCCAACGAGTCACTTTGGAACTCTCCCAAAATCCCTCCGCCTCGCCCCTTCAAACAACTCTTCAAAATCTACCTTATTGATCCTCAAACTTCCTCTCGTTCCCACGCTAAACAACTTCATTTGCTGTTGTCGTTGCTTGGTGATCCACACAGCCGTTGTGAAGCGTTTTACCGTACATTCAGAGCGCCATCTACGCGAAAGTTATTTTTAATTGTAACCAGGTAGACAAGGTAGAAACGCAAGGGCCATACTCTCTGCCTGACAATTTTACCTCCTGCTGAAGCTAACGTTGATTTTCGGTGGATGGGAGGATCAAAGGGTTTTGAAAGCTGCAGTGCAAGAGACATAAATAAGGCTGGTTGGTGGCTGAATGAGTGCCACCAATACAATACACTCAAGTATTCTTCCTTCGCCTTCCCCTCAATAGATTGGTTTTGGCGTTGACATTTCTCATTTCAATCTACACTTATCTTCGCAGCAGTGCTTTGTTCAATGGGACAAATTCAGTGAGAGATTGCAGTTTCCTGTGTTGAGCTGTGGTTACGGCTCCACAACAACCCTCCTAAAATAAAAAAATGAAACCACATTTGAATGAAGATTCATAACTGGCGTCTGGGTGGGTAAAGATGTACTTTAAAAAATGATGTGCGCTACTACGTGAAAAAAAANTCCTTTTACCATTCATAACTTTTAGTCAAATATATAGCTGGGCCAGGGGAATATGGGCCATTGTTTTACAGTGAGATAGTATATCCTATTTCAAACCCAAATAGAAATGTCCAACTTTATCTGCTCCTCAAATAGCTACAAAGGGTTTTGTTATCGGAATCTTTGTTTACTGTAAGAAACTGAGCTTTTCCTCCCTGGAAATTTCCACCATTGTACAGGCACGGGCTAAGAAACAAAAACTTTTTAAATTAGAAATGGAAACAAATACTGGAAATCCAATCAGCATTATGGAAGGAAGGCGAGACTTGGGGATGACCCTTCTTCGTAGACAGAGCAAGGCCATGGAAGACCAAGTTCCAATGCTATTGATCGATTGTGAAATACTGTCAGCAGGTTGGTGTTAAATAGGCATCCATCAGACAAAAAGCTGCCTTCTGTCCATCGCTTTCTTAAGAACACAGAAGCAAGAGAGGGTAATCAGCCCATCACGCTTGTCACTGTCATTTTATTAAACCGTGGCAGACCTTTTCACACCATTTTCCGTATAATACTCTTTG